ATTGTTTTTTGATCCCTTTGTCCGACTTTATTGACAAATGAGAAGAACATCAGCAGACAGTGACATAAACGCAAAATGCTCGTGACAGCTTAAAAAGGTAAAAGGTGGAATTGTATTGATCGCTGGCGCCGTGTGATAAACGACGCTGGAACTTGTCTAGGTCCATAAATCAAGATCCACCCCAACATTTTCTTAACCTATACAAATGGTTAGAGTGAAAATGATGATCTTTCCCAAAGATTTTTTATTTTGAGAACCTTCAATTATTAAGGTTTGAAACAATTACAAATCCAGCTTAAATTTTCAACTCTATTTATGATCTTGCATCTAAAAAATTAGTTGATAGTAAATTTCTTCTTAAAAACTTTTAACTAAGTCAAACTTTTATCATTAAACTTTAAGTTAAATAAGGATTAGAAGTTTTTATCTTTAAACCTGATGAACGCAATAATAATTTTATTTTCCAGCAGCTCTGTCATATAAATAGTTGTTGGTGTAAATTTTGAAATCATAGTCATTAATTAGTAAAAAAAAAAAAAAAAAAATTTAATAATTGAAATCAAATTATTTCGATAATATTTTTTTAAAGAAAATAAAATAAATATAATAAATAATAACTATGATACTCAATTGCGGCAGTTGCAGTAGCTTCTAAACTATAAAATTTTAAGCATTTATCCCAATTTTCTACTGTTAAATTACAAGAATGAATTGAATGTTGTAAAATTTACCATTGAATTGTTATTTTTGGCAAGAATTTAAGTGATTCTTTTAGATTATTACAAAATATAGAGATTTCTTGGTGAAGTAGTTTTTTTATGGCCTAATTTTAAGTTCTTTGCAAAGCTTATGAGCTCTTTGTAACTTCAGGATTCGTTAATGGAAAGAGCTTTGCCCATTCTCAACTGACCCAAATTTTAATCCTGATGGTTACTCTCTTTTCTACGAGCTCCGCGTTGCAGAAGAGATAACCGTGACTAATAGACAGTTCCCATTTACACCCTAAGTACGTCTGCCCTCCACTCCGTCTCCGGTCTGGGGCCGCACACAGATCTTAAGATGCGTGTTCACGTTTTGTGCGCGCGAGCTTCATCGACCAAGAAAGCACTCGACAAGCGCGGAAAACCACCCTTATACGCAGTGCCAACCCCATTATATTACATAATACTACCGTCTTTTTTTTTTGTGTCAAGCGAGCAGTAAAAATGGGACCGACCTGCATTTTTACCAAAAGCGCAAAACATTTCCCTGTGTGAATAAATTTGGTATGTATGTTTGTTTCTTTTATATTCAGTGACGTCGTTTGAAGAAAAGCAAAAGTTGCTCAGCGCCCGTAACCTTTTGCAATAATAAATGCATGACCCGTGATGATCTCCGGGACAAAAACTTATGTTAGCCAATGTCAAATTTCATTGCGGAATTAAATGAGAAAATGTGTAAGCCGTTTTTCCAAATATAAATGTTTAATTTGTCCGCAGCTCGCGTGCGTTTGTTTTTTCATGCAATGGCACATGTAATTAAAAATTCAATTAGTGGCTTTCAGAACAAAGCCGAGAGCATTGAAGAGAGAATTTGCACGCATATTCACTCCTATATGAATAATGCAAGCAGCGAAACTCGGTAATAATTTATCACCGAGGCGCTTTATTCCTGCATTTGCCTCAAAGTTGTGCGAAAAAAAACTTTTTGGCTCGATTCCACACACTCGAGTGGAAACACAAACAAACAATACAACTCTGAGAATCACCATGACAAGATGTTGTGCCTGAAACAATTACTGTGGTAAATTATAAACTTTACGACAGACACACTTTGCCACAAGTTTAGGCAGTTAAATTTGATTTTGAGCAAGTGAATCTTGTTGTGTTAGCAATTTAATTAATTAATATTTCATCTTCAGGCTGAGATTTTAATTAAACAAAAACGTTTTTACAAGTCTTGTTCGTTTTTCTAGAAAATATTTTATGCTCTCAAGCAATAGGAACTAATGGAGTTGCAGAATATATGTATTTTTATATGGATCGTTTTACCATAACATGTAGACAAAAAATTAGGTCGCTCTTCCTTGCTCCAGTGAGTCTCAATTACATGATCCTCTAGAGATCCGAGTTTTCTCTTGGCAGAAAACGAAAAAAATAACAACGCAGAGTGAAAGAATGAACACTGCAGTGAAAATTTTCAGCAAAATTTGCCATGAAAATATCTCATAATCACTGACTGAGGGATTTCGTTGAAATTCTGTTGGAAAAAGCAAGGCTTTATTTTTCTCTAATAGACTCTGGCGTTGGTCGCCGAGTTGCTATAAAAGTCCAATCACTTTTTATAGACTTTCGGTGCTCTTAAAGTGACTCAGCAGTTTCAGCACAAAAAACGATGGGGCGCCGAGGAAGAATAATCAGTTTAAATTTAGGTCATCACGTGATTTACTATGGTGGTGTTTGCACGTGGATTTTTTTATTTTGCTTCTAAAAAATGCACATATTTTCGTGCACGCGGTTGGTAAACATACTGTGAGTTATCTACATGCATAAAGGTATTATATGCGCATGTCAGATAAGGGCGCATAATATATTCAACTTTATCGGAGGCAGGAAAAAAGCGTCTTGATTAGGGCCGCGCTGCTTATTTACGAGAGACCTCGCTGCATTATTCCGAGAGCATAAACACGCTTCGCGATTTATTTCCTTTGCCCGAAGATAAAGGAGAAAGAATTTTCCAATAAAATCCGAGCCCCTTCACATACTTGATGCAGAGGCAAACACGACGTACGTGGGCGGAATAGAATCAGGCAACTGCAAAATTCACTTTTCTTGTTCTCCATCCGCGTGTGTACCATGACGCGGACCGCGAGACTAGAAAATCCTGTATTCATCGACATGGAAACAAACGTCAGCAAGAATCATGATATTTGCATATTACACAGAGCAGCGGAAAAATGAAAAAAAAAATAATCATAATCATAATTTTTTTACGATTAACGCAAAATATTTGTTGAATGCAAGAGAAAATTCAATTTATATAGTAATAAATTTCCATTCATTTCAGAATTATTTGCACAAACAAATTAGTCAAAAAAAGCACTAAACTGATATTTATTTAGGAAATTTGCTGGACTTGCTGCATACAAATATTAACATCTTTAAATTAAAAAAGTTCTTGTTTCCAATAATTTTAGATTTAAATTTTTTAAATACATTTTTTTACGTTAACATGATAAAATTAGAAAATGAAAAATGCGTTTGTTTAGTATTTAATTTATCTAAACATTTTTTGCGACAATTTTGCTGCTAGATGAAAAATATCAAGTTGGAAGAAAATGTATATTGATTATTTTTGCTTGTCTTTTTGTTGTGACGTTTTGCTGTCCTGTCTCACGTCTAATGCAAACAAATCACTCCAGCTGCCACTTTTGAACCACTTAATAGCAAAACGAAAATCAATCACCATTATATTTATCCAGCAATATCATGCCAAGCTACCCTTCTTTTTGTTTGAAATCTGAGTCGGCAATTTTTTTAAAAAAATTTTCACTCTGGAAATCGATTTCGAGTTAATATGGCAATATTTTTAATGGAAGAAACGTGAATCACGTGCAAATTATTCTGATTGAAATCGTTCCTTTTTGTTCTGGATTTTACTGTTCGGCAAATAAAATCCCTCCGCATTGGGAACTTTTGGCAAACCTCCCAATGCCGTTTTGAGCCGACGCCGGGTCTGATGGAAAATGACGCGCACTTTGAGGGTATTTTGAAAACCATGGTGGCGAGATGACGGTCGTTTTGTTTCATGCTTCACGCAAATTCCATTTGGTTGATTGCGTCGGGTTCGACCCTTCAGAGCCATTTCAGCAGACGAGGCTTCAAGCGTCGCTCTTCGTCTGAACTGCAGAGTCGATAAGCAAATTGAGGTTGAGATTCGAAACCAGACCAAACACCAAACACTTCAGGCACGATACTGTCGGCTCACATACGTATCAGACAGGAAATTAACCCTTGCTGTCACCTATTTTAATTAAATATTCATGATAAAACTTTTAATTATTATTTAAAATAAGACTTTTCAAAGAAATTCGTCACCTGAAAGCATTTTTTCACGTAGTTATCATTGCAATTTTGATTAATTTTTAACGTCAACTTAAAGCTAAACTTATTTATTCCATGAAATATGAAGAAATGAATGCACGTTTTAATTGAACTGTTTTGAATTCAATTAATGTTTTTGCATAATTTTTCAACATTATCAAGCTAAATCAATTGCATAACAGAAAAATTAAAGGTATTTTAATAAGTTTAAAAAATATTTATAAAAAAAAGGATGTGGCGATAAACACGCTGTTTCAATCGTCAAAGCACAACAGATAAGAGCAAAATGTCATAGGGTCAAAGACAAGACAGGGTCAGCAGGGTCACTAGATGAGCAGTGGGAATTCCGAATCATTAAAATTATATTGTATGCGTCCCCGCTGAAGGCAAACACAATGTATAACAATGAGAAAGAAAGAAATTTGAACATGTTTGACGTAGCAATAATTTTCATTTGTACTACAATAAAATTTGCGATTTAATTCTTCTAAAAATGTTTTTGTCCTAAATTTTTAGATAATTTTTATTATTGGCAGACAAGAAGAATAAAAATGAATTATTCTTGATTTTAACCTCTTTAATTATTTATTGCCCAACGAAATAATAATTATTATTGTTGTTTATTCTACTCAAGTCATAAACAACAATAATAATAATTATTTTGTTGGGAAATAAATAATTAAACAGGTTAAAATCAAGAATAATTCATTTTTATTCTACTTGTCTGCCATATAATAATAAAAATTATCTTAAAATTTTGGACAAAAATATATTTAGAAGAATTAAATCGCAAATTAGATATTTATTAAAGAAAAATGATTACTGAAAAAAATTAGTTCGAGCGACCTTTGAGCAAGGTCACTGCGCAGATAAATTTAATCTCTGGTCAGAATGAAGAAAAATTTGCATCACATGACTGGTTGTATCTAGACTGAAGGCAGTTCAAATTATTTACCAGAGCAGATCGACACTTCTGCAAGGATGAAGATTTTCTTTATTTTCGCGATTTTCGCTGCTCTGTTTTTGATGATGGTGGCTGCAGACGACACAACCACTGAAAGCAATGATAATAATGAGAACGACGCAGGCGGATTTTCAATTTTTAACGTCATTGCTAAGGTAATCAAATTTAATTTTCTACGGAGCTTGAAACTTATTCTGCTTATTTTTAGCCGCGTCCTCCAAGACGACGTCCATCTTCATAAACGTTTCGCAGGACTTCTCCCATGAATTCCTTCAAAGGATAGACAATTCTATATATTTAGGTATGGTTGATAAAATTTAACTGACTATTTCCGTGGAAATAATTTAATTAAATTAAAAATTTGCTTTTGCACTAATTAAAATTTAAATGTTTAGTGTGTGGAGACTTATTAACAAATCCATAGTCAACTTGAAGAGATAATCAGGTTGATTTTGGAAAGCTCATTTTCCCCAAATTAACAATATAATTATATATAAGTTTCTAAAACTCGTAAGTGGCAAAACATTGCAATAATTGTCCAGAAGACCAATGCAAAGTGGTTTCCACTCAGGAGAGCAAAAAATAGCTTCGACCAGTTTGGTCTATCAAGGATCTCGTCAACTGTAAAATTATGATCTCCTAAAAGTTCTGCACTTAATTTTAATAAATAATGTAGTGATAAATTATTAGTTTTACATTTTCTAAACAAATGAACTAAATGAGTACATTTTTTTTACTCTTTTCCAGTTCCTGGCATCCTCGTACCCTCAACGGCCAAATCTTTTCTTTTTTTGTAGCGCACAGGGCTCGAAACAATATGGTTTTTATTCAATGCTTCAGAAATACTAACAAAATAACATTTTAATTGATCAAACGGGAATGGTAGTTAGTTGTGATGAATTTCATGGAGATTTTTGACGGTTACTTATTTTTTTCAAACATATTTAAAAATTGTAAAGAGGAATATAATATTATTTGATTCCAGTTCTGATATATTCGCTCGATTTTTATTTTCAAATAAGAACCATTTATAAAATATAATTTGTGATAAAAACGATTTTATTGTAAAATATTAAATAAACTGCTTTTAGAACACCAAATGGATCCTTTTATTTGACGATTTTGACATATATTTACTATAGGCTCTGATATGTTAGAAAGGTTTCATTAGTATTCATCGTCGTAGATTATGCTTAATTCTCGTCGCAACTTTTGAAGATTGATCGACGAATGAAGATTTAATTTTACTCCTCTTGGATGTTTGTATTGGTATTTTTAGTACAACTGAACCTCAATAAAGAGAGCTCAGCTGGCAGATAATCAATATTTAGGCGTATGCAAAAGGTGTTAGAAAGAATTTGGAAAAAAATGATAAAATATTAAAACCTGGCATAAACTAAGTCAAACTCTAGTATCTGCTCAACTGAAAAATAGTTGAGCACAACAATGAGGCGAATAGTTGAAATGAGCGTGGGCATCCATATCAGAGGAACAGGAGATCAATTAATTAAAATCATATTCATAATAAATGGATTAAATTGTTAAAAGCAGATACTAAAAATACTTAAGTTGATAACAAAATAATTTATACAATTTTTTTTCTTTAAATTTTCCTTTATCATTATCAATGTTTAACATTAAATTTAAATTTTAATGATATTTATATAATTAAAAATTTTTTAACTTTTTATTATATTGATTATTTTTTCTAAATTATTTTGTCACCATGCGTTGGATTATTTTTATCTACAAATTATCAAAATATTATGAAATAAATATAGATTTATAAATAAGCTATGTGAACTATAATAATGAAATTTTTCAGCTACGACGAAATGTTGGTTAGTATCTCTTGGGTGTTTTTGAACTATCATTTTGACTGTATTAAAATTGGCATGTAATTCACCATTCATTTAACTCATTTTATTCAAAAAGTATTAAAGAACCAAGATGAGAGGAAAACTGCCAATTTACAAATTAAAATTTCAGGACAAAATAAAGTAGGCGCTTGAATTGCTCAAAAAGTCTTCGTCGCCTGTTGAAAGACGATCTGCTTGTTAACCACTTTCTGTATAGTCAAGTCTCTCCCTTTCCTTCCCTTACTCGTATTCGGGGTAATTAATTAAAAATTCATCTGGCAACAAGCTGCTGGAAATATGACGAAATCGATCCTGATCGATAAAACGCCCTCCTCGGTTTTTTTTTTCTTCTTTCGCGTTCATGCACCCGACGTCATTATCAAGCAGCGAAGCACCTATTTAATGGATAATGAGCGGCGCCAACACACACCAACAAGGTGTGTGTGTAATGAAGAGCTTCCCTGATCAGGTGCGCCGCGTGCAGTTGGGGCTGTAAATCGACCCCTCTCCACAGCACCAAATCAGCCCCTGGGCGGCGATAAAATCTCGCGCTCAAGACGTTTATTACAAACGGTGGAACTGAAAATTGCGCTACGCAAATTACTTTTTGCACAAACGAGATTCTCCGGTTTCAATGAAGAAGGTGCAGGTCCAAATTGCAACAGGAAAAGGAGTCTAATTACTTTAAAAACTGAATTGTTTGACTTTTCCTTCGACTACACACATCGTTCTATTTAAGTTTCCAAGCTTTTAAGTACATAATGAGATTCAGTTACAAGCAAATGGCTTAAAGCTCATGCACTATCGTGTGCTGATAAAACTTTGAAGTTCTTTTTCAAAGGCAATCTTCAGCTAGTAAATTTGCAATTTGCTGCTGTGCTTTGATGATTTTAACACGTTTGTTTGTTTCCTGTGCTCAAAGTAATCAAACTGTTAAAATATTCTTTCTCTCTCTTGATAAAATGCATTTTCATTTCTGTTAAATGAATGAAAATTTTTTACCAACCATTAAAACTGAAATAAATTTAGTTCAATAAAACACAGCGTAGTGAAATGAGTGAGTTTAAAATAACAACAAGTTAATCAATCAAACACTGAACTCATTTGTCATTTGTGTCTTAAAAATGCAAATTAAAAAGTTTATGCGATAAAACTTTTCATTTATAATTAAAATTAATGAAAAAAGCTAAACTGTTTTTATTGATTTATATCATCCGCAAAACGTCCAAGTTTTTTTGATTAAATTATTTCTGTAATTTTCATTGCTGCTGTTTGTTAACAATGTTTAGTCTTAAATTATGTTTATTAATGTACCACATGTTTAGATTCAATTATGGAAAAGGCAATTGAAATTAATCAAGAACTTTAACTTTTTATTTTGCTTATTTTATATTTAATTTTGATTTCAAATATTTCTTTTGTCAAATGATCTATGTTAGAATATAACAAGGTCCACGCTTCAGCAATAATGAAAAAAGATTTGATTGTTGTTTGAGCTCTCTGATTGGGTACAAGTAAAGTTGTACCCAATCAGAGAGCTCGACAACAATCGAAATTTTCTGACGAGCGGACCTTGGAATAAAATAATTTTGTATTCATATATTTTGATTAAATATAATTGTAACAATTAGGTGAATTGAAAATTCCCCCCCGTTGATTATGCAAGATTTTTTGTGTCAGGAATAACAAATTGAATAATTAATAAAAATTAAATGTATTAGGAAAAAAGAAACACTGATCCGCCGATTATATTAACCAATGAAATCAAAATGGAAAAATATATTTTTAGAGCAAAGTCTGCATGTATCTGAATATCAACTCGGTCATACAAAAATAATGTAAAACGAAGAACACGAGAATGCGCCCGTCTGATCAAAATTGCTTTATTTTTGGTGAAAGTGGTGTGTGCGTCTCTTCTGTGAATGCTTTCGTCGGAAGTTGATGTCACGATCTGACGCGGGGAGAGGTCACCAGAATCAATAAAACATATGTACAATACCGCGTGTGTCTTTTTGTATGCGTGTGTGTGCAGACACCGGAGACACACACGTTGATGACGAAGATACAATAATGTGCACCAACGCCACACGCACCCCTCAAGAGCGCCGGTGGCGCTTCTCGATCTCTGCACTAATTGATATTGAAACCAGCACACCGGCAAATTGTGCAATGCGGAGTGCATTTTCCACTCGGAAAGTCAAGAGATTGTTTTGTCCGTCAACAAAGGAGAAATAATTTGCGTTTCAAATTGCACCTCTCATTATACGCGACTTTCCTGCTCCTTTATTGTTGTCGGCTAATATTGAGCACGTAAATTATTCAAATGGAGTCTTTGTGCGCGAGGCTTGCAGGTAAAGTGCCCATTAGTGTGCGAAACGCACGTGCAGTCGCACCAAGCTCAAGTCAAGAGAAAATGATAATATCAAGTTTCGAGCGCATGATACGCGCAATGGATGGAATCGTTGCGAAAACTTCATTAAAAATGACCTATTATTTACTCTCCTGAGGGTATAGCAAGTCCTTGGATTCATATTTTACATTCAAAGGCAGGCATATTTTTTTTTCATTACATCTGAAATTTCCATTTTCTCTCATATTTCGTTTATATTTGCACCTGAGGGAATCAGATAAATTACACGTGAGCCATCAGCGCGGTGTTTTTTTGGCGCACAAAGAGCAAAGCTCTCTGCAATTAATATAATTTCATGTTGCATGTGTGTAATAATTACATTAATTACGTACCAGTGTTTGATGGAAGCTTTTAATTATTCAATACAATTTGAGATAGAAATTCTAGTTGTTTAATTTTTTAATTGTGTTAATTTCTATTAAAATAATCCGTTTTTGTTTATAATTCTCTTCTACCATTGAAAATTAGAATAATCTTAACTCTTAAGTACCTATAAAGATCCGCTGAACATGGACAAAAGTAGACAAAAGTATTCAAATTTCTACGATTTTCCGTTTTACACCTGCCAGATTTGCATTCAAGTCAGAAGATCTAATTTCAAAATATGTATATTCTGATCAGTTTTTTTTTCAGTTTAGAATCTACCATCATGAAAAAAAATGAGTAATTGAATTCTTATTTTTTTTCAAACCCGCACTTTTTGAGAATCAAACTCTATCCATTGAATTTTATTTGCAAAGATATCCTACAAAGTAAAGAATTAACAGGAAAACAAACAAATTATATTGGAATTGAAAAAAATTTATATCGTGCCTGTCAAAATAGAAATCGTTGACAAATCACCCTGTTTTTAAAAATGAATTGAAAATTTATTTTGTCACACTGTGTAATTTTTTTAAATTAAATTGTTTGCTTTTGTCATTTTTTCTTGCCGTATTGAAAATAATTTACATCCTGCATGTCAAAATAGAAATCGTTGACAAATCATCATCTTTTTAAATATATAAATAAATTAAATTTAATTTTGTCACGGTCGCATATTACAAAAAAACTGTGTAATTAATTTTTTTTTAAATTAAATTGTTTGCTTTGTTATTTTTTCTTGCCGTATTGAAAATAATAAGAAAGGGCACTGACCTTTCGCCGTCGTCGTTGAAGGCGTAGTCGCCCATGATGAGGTCCCTGAAGCGATACCTCGGCGGCAGCGGCGGGCAGACCTCCTTCTCCATGAGCTCGCGAGGGCCGGGAGACACTGGCGTGCTTACGGCCATCGCTCTTACTTCGCTCCTCACACAAGATGCGACCTTGACATTGCCCAAGCAGGCGAACGTGCACGCGAACCCCTTTCTTGCTTCGTTAGTCCCAGTGACTCTCTTCTGTATATTTCGTGTACCAGCGGAGGCGGCGTGAGTGAGACACGGTTGCGTTCGACTTGGCCTCTCAACCCTCGCGAGCATCTCCAGCGGCGCTCGCGCCAAATAAATCCGCTGCTGGCCTCTGGTGTGCACCCTCCGAGGCTAACACGCCACTACCCTCTCTGTTTGCTTTTAATTATTTTCACGATTTATTGTATAACCTGGCGAAAATCGTGTTTACTCTTTTTTAACATAGTCTATTTTTTGCAATAAAATAATAATATTAAAAAAAAGATATATCTTATAAGATTTTCTTGGTATTCTGGGAGGTCAGAGAAGATTATTTATTATTATAGCTTTTTTTTAAGTTGTTACAAATACATTGTTTACGTTCAATATATGAAAACATTTATTTAAGTAATTAAGTTATTAATTATTAATTTATTAATAATTGTCTTTTTTAGTGTATAAATTTTCAATTTTAACATTTAATTTTTAACATTTAACTTAACAATTATTTTTAATCTAATTAAAACATTTAAAAATATAATATTTATTATATAAATATTATTTACTAGGCTCTTTTTACAATTTTAATAAGTATGTTACGTATAAGAAGAAATATAAATTTTTCTTCTGCAATTATTATTTTTTTAATTGTGTTAAGCAGCAAAAAATATTGACAAGAATAAAGCTATCAGCAAATTAATATGCGATGAACAAAATACAAAAGCCAGTTAATACATTAGTTGACTTTATCAACAATTATTACCGCCCATAAATTGGAGATATATTTCTATTGATGACTTAATACAAGATGGCCTTTTTTTATTTAATCTCTTTTGGCGCCTTAAAAATATTTGAGTTCATAGGTTTATTTCAACCGACTCATTGGAGCTTTTACATTGTAATATAGCCACAAAAATGAGTATTAGAAAGAAAATTTGGTTGTTTTTTTATTTGCCTTTATCTATGGACACGTATAAATGTGATTTTTTTCTTCATATCAGCGCTCAAATCAGGAAGTAATTAACTAAAGCATCATAACATAAAAAGTGGAAATTTCCATAATTTTTTTTCATTTATATTATTTTTAATTTATTATAATATTTTCTAGGTGAATGAAAAGGAGATATCAAAATGATGCTCATTGCAGATTAAATTTATTTAATACATTTTTCGTTTATTCTTTGGGGAAAATATACACATATGTATGAATAATCATATACCTCATTTTGTCAGTGTATAGCGAGTAGGTGTAGTTTTCCTCCGTCACAAAAGATACATTTCTCGTCTCCACTCAACACACACTGCGGTTAAATTTGATAGACAGCTACAATATAATGTGATGGATATTTTATTACTCAACGTTAAAGGGCTACGTCTGCTTCTTTAACACAATTGAAAAGGATTGTTTGTATTATGAACATCATAATTTTAGGAGTTTTCCGAAATGAGGAAAATAAATCGCTTCTGTCCAGGGAAACTTCGCTATTCACAAATCATTTTATAGTCTCTTAACACAAAAACGTAACTTGAACATTCAAATATTTATGCTATTAGAAGATTTTTATAATATAACAACAAGAAAAATATTCATGTATTTTCATTACTTCCAATTATATCAATACAGTGACTTAGATTTGTCTCTTTTCAGCCAATTATCAACAGTATAGTTAAACAGTTTCTGTTATATAAAGATTTTTTTTCACAATTCAGTTCCTGTGTCTTTATAAATTCACAATTATTTCATAATTATACAGCATTGCATATTTCATCGTGCTACAGTCGAGAAATTTGAAAAATTAAAGCAGAAAATGCGTTGGAAGTTTAAATGACAAAAGTACTTTTTAAAATAGTAAAAGTTGTGAATTCTCTTTGCGCCAAAAACAAACGTTTAAAAAACTTTGACCTCCTAAATCTATGAATTTTGTTTGTGTTTTAATACAATGGAGCAGTTCTTTTTTTGTTTGTCTATGTATTGACTTTTGATTAATTTTCTTATCTTGTATTAAAGAGTTGCCTGGCATGCAGCGGGTATATAATTGCAAAACCGTGTTTAATTGACACTGTTTTAAAGTTTTTACAACAAGCTCAGCCAATTCAGCTTTGTGAATACGCATTATCATGTATTTTCTGAAATAATTTAGAAAGTCGATTTTTTCATAGGAATTAGAACTTAAGATTTTTCCTGTGTGTGTTTTAAATTTAAAAGCTCCTTTATTATGAACTATTTTATCAGGGTCTACTCATTGAATTTATGGGAACTTTTGTAATTTATTTTCATGTAGTTAATTGGCATTTTTGGGTACTAATTATTTTTTGTGTGTTTTATACTCTTTGAAGAGATCATTCTACGCTCTTTAAACACTCAATAACTTATATTAATTGCATAATATGTAATATATATGATTTCAGAGATGAGATCTATGTGCTTTAGATAAATTCAGTTTTAATTTTTAATTTAATTACTCTACACCTAAGGAAAAACGCATCTAATTGGAATATTGGTTCTTTAACTCAGTATGCATTCACATATTCTAGGATTATACTACATCAAATTTTGCTAAAATTTGTATGAAGGTCAAAAGAGCTTTAGAAGAGCAGGCTTGGAAGATCACAATAGAGAGAAGGTAGGAAAATAACTTGTATCGTGTGCTGGGAAAATTGTCGTGCAACATTCAATATTATCAGTAAACGTGGTAATGCTACAATGATATAATATATTCATGTTTATTTCTTTGTTCAAGAATCTTCCAGTCCAGCCAAGGAAATCAATTTTTTTAATCATTTTTTATATATAAAATTTATCCAATTTAAAAAGGAACAATTTCTTTTATTTTACAATTAATAATATATTTTTCCGACTTAAATACCACAGATTGGATAGCATTCATTGGATATAATTTTCTTCTCATTTTACTTTGGACAGAAAAAGATATGGCCTCAAAGAATATATATGTATATCTTTTATACTCGTTCGTTCGCGACCGAAAAAGCATGCTTGTTAATCTGGTTACTTGACGCTGGCTGCGGAAGATCTTTTGCTCGAGTCTGTTGCGTTCGAGGATTTGTCTTCACTCTTGCCTGCTGGTGTAACCGGAGTCGCGGGCGTGGGGTCGTCCAGGAATAACGGATTTTTCACCTCCATTTCGCAAGTCTGAAAGTGAAATTCGCATGAAGAGGGTTGTCTAAAGTTCAACTACTTCTACTGCACATTCATTAGTTTTTCTATATTTGTGGAAAGAAAAATAATTCTTAATTTATTTTATGTATTAATTAAGCTTTATTTTTATTGATGAGGAGAAAAAAATTGAACAGAAATCAGAATGAATTAAGTTTTAATTTTATATAGTCCGAAGAACATATTTTTGCCAATCTCTTGCCTTTTCTGAGATACAATTAATTAAATTTTGCATATTTTCAAATTAAAAGAACTTGCTATTTTAGACAAATTATTTTTTGTTAATGAAAAAAATTAAAAGGCATTGGACTGATATTTTTAGTTTAATAAAAAAAAACTAAATTAAAAAAAAATCAAAAATATTTTAGCGAAAAATTTTTAAATTATCTTTTTCTATTTTTTCTTCATACTTTTGCTTTCCTCTGAGATGAAAACTTTTTTAAACGTCAATTTTAATAAGAAAAATTCCTTACCGAAGCGAGTCCAGGACATTCATAGACCGTGTAGTCACCTTCGTCGTTTTCGTCGTCGCTTTCGGCTTCGGACAGAGACCCTCGCCGCTCATTTGCTGCCCTGCTGCAAAATTTATCAAATTCATAACGAGCGCATATATTTATATACCAAAAAGTGCTTTGTCGGCAAAACATCCCCAGAGGACAAAGTTGCCTGCGTGGCGTGAAACATTTGTCGCCCGCAAAAGTGACGACCATTGTTTTGCCACGATATGTGGATTTATTCTGCCCGCACTAATTGCGGTTGATAAATGGCCCGTCACAACACACACCACGATAATATAACTTTCCGAAATGCAAATTTGCACATTAACCTATGGGCTGAACAACATTTTGAGAGAGCGAAATCGATTCGCAGGAGTTTCCCAAGGAAATGATGAACTATAAAATAAAATTGTACGTATCCGATTCTCTCTACATTAATTAAAAACTAAAAGTAGACCATATTTCTATTCAATACAGAATAAATAGAAAGTACTCATTTTCGAAGGTAAAAAATTAATAATAAATTTTCTTCCCCTCTCCTTGCTTTGATATATCATAAAAATGAAGACAACCCAAATTTGTGAAGAAAAACGGACTTACTAATGAATTTTTTCATTACAAAATGAATGGCTCTTCCAGTTTTGGTCACGATTAGCGTCTCTATTTTATGAGAATAACGTACTGCGCTTGCTTACTAATGCAATTGCTAAAGTTTTTTTTTTTATCAAGTAGCATTTTAAAGTTATTATTTGATATATTAATCTGTATAAATGTATTTTGCGGTTTTTTTTAATTGTTTTGTTCTAATATATTATATACAATTTCAAATTTAAATTTTCTTTTTTTATTAGTTTGTTTCATTCAAAATAAACGAAAACATTTGTTACTTTTACAATTAAAAAAATTGTATAAAAAAATATTAATGAAGACAAGGATAATAAATTTGTGTTGAAAGTAATTGAATTCTATGTGAAGAGATTTGGCTATCATTTATCGCTAAAAATTAATTGTTTTGACTTATTATCGTTGAATAAATTATGTTTTGAAGAATCCCGGAGCTCGGAATAAAAAAGAACGGATAAATGTGTTAGTGCCAGCGGATGGCAAAAATTGAATTTTCATTAGGAGCGCGGCAGCTGCTCGGCTCTCCTTCCATGATTTATTTACTCTCACAACACCCTCTGCGCTATCCAAGAACCCTTTCCTCTCTCTTAAGTTAGTTTTTTTTTGCCACCAAAAGAAAATACGGCAGGAAAGAGAGTTCAGAGAGAAAATTCAAATATTCTTTTCCCTTTGGTGACAAACGAAGCGAGATTTTCCTTGCAATATAAAAGTTTGCAAATCAAAATCAAGCATCCTTTCCAATATTGAATGCTGCAAATTTTCATTTCGCAAAATTTAATGTGGAACGACGGCTCACCTTTCCATGGCGATGATCTGCTGCTTCTGGTGCTGGTAGTGGTACATCTGGGCGGACTGGGCCAGCCTTCTGTCCCCCGAGGTCGGCGAAATGTCCTTGTTCGGACCGGTCACTCCATACGCAGGGTACTCGACGTCGGCCGTCGCTTTTGCATTCCTCTGCAACCTAAGATGCAAAGAAGGAAAATGTAAAAAAAAAACTATTATCTTTAGTCAATTTATAGTTTGTTGTTAGCAATTATTATTTAATTAAGAAATTGAATATTTTTTGGAAATTTTGTTTAAATTATTAATCGAATTAATTTGAATGTTTCAGGCGTTTTTTTTTTGTAAAATTTTAAATTTTTTTCAAATATTTTAATACATAAAATTTATCAAAGAAACACTGAACTTCATGATTCATGATTCATAGAGTTCTACATAGAATTGTTGTTGGTTTTTGAAGTTTTTGGGAATAGAAACCTTCAATTTGTGTTCACTAATGGCTTCCCACACTGATGAAAATGTTTGATCAATTTGATCACGTTTGGTATAAAAATCGTTTTGCTAATGAAAATTTACATTACAATTTTTGTATGCTCCATTTGTTTAATTATAATTTTAACTTTGATGGACTTCTGACCTTTGATTATTTTGTATTTCCGACACCGGCCCTTTGTTATGTATTCTATTCATATGAACTTTAGCCTGTAAAATATTTGCTAAAATATTGGAAACCGGAGAATGCAAATATTAAATTTATGCAAAACTAAATCTAAATTTTGACTCTGCATCTCACAATCAGTGAAATAAATTATATTAAACTAAATACTTGTAAGATTGGAGCAAGTTGAAAAGATACCAGAAAAAACTAATCTAAGGCTCAACTAGCCAATCAAAACATTTACCATGCTAACGTTTAAATAATTTATTATTTAATAAATATAAAATTTAACATTTTTATTATAAACAATTTTCCGATCAATAAAGTTTTCAGAAATGCTCTTTTCTGGAAAATTGAAGCGAGTCTAAAATGTTCTACGATTCCAGCAATTTAGTTTTCGCCCTGCCGCCTTTCGTTTGAAAGGGTTTCGGGAGCGAGCGAGATGAAATTTTAAACGCGTCCCGCTGTTTATGACACATGTCATCGCCACTGCACGTTGGGCAATAAGCGTTGGGAGCGAACGTACGTGTTTTCCGCCGGCGACGGAAGCCTCGGGCGTAATGCCATCAAATATTCACGTCAATTGATCCTCTTTCGAGCGTCGCGTCTCCCAAGCTAGCTTTTAATTATTCAACCCATTGATTCTTCTTCACTTTGAAGGGTAAAAAACAATGCACTTAAGAGGGATGGTTAAGACTCTAAATTGATTGGGGAGGATCTTTCCTTTTATACAACCGCATTTTCCCCCCACATGCACATTCTCAGTGAGTGGAGCTCAATTACAGACAAAGGGAGAAAAGAAAGACAACAGACGGAATCTTTTGAGCCCTGAAATGCGTGATGCGGGCTCTTTAGCGTGTCTTTCCCCCCTTCTCATTTCAACCAGAAGCTTTTTTACGTTATTGTTTTTGTTTCCCAACCACTTTCATGTGTCTTTGCGTTTTGTACCATCAAATTAAATTGAATTTAGTCATATTATGCTAATTTGTCCTGGAAATTAATTTGAACTTTGTTAACTCAATGTCAAATTTCATCACGTTTTCGGTTTAATCAAATTCCCCTGAATTTTCCTCAAAGGGACCCTTTCACAGACACACGTTAATACAATTTATTTCTACACACACTGCAAGCCTTTCAGAACTCGTCAAGTGTAATCTGCGAGTGCAAAATCTAATCCCGTGTCTCCTCGTCCCTATTTGAATAGAACTGCTCTGGATTTTTCTGTTTGTACATCAAAAGCAATGCGACAAACAAACGCAGAGATTACAATTATTAGACTCACAGATCGTCCCTGAAGCTGTAAAACCTGAAAAAGACCTCGTCCAGGAGCGACCTGATGGTGTTGAGCATCGCCCTAGGACATGCTGGCTGTTGCGCGCGAATTTTGCAACTGCCTCGCACAGAGACCAACATCAACCCCGCAACCCGCAAGCGCACTCGATTTTCTCTCTTTGAACTTGCACTTGTGATTTTATTTTGCAAATCAAAATATTATTTTATATCTGTGTTGAATACTTAAATATGACTTAAAAATCTCTTCCAGGTGAATAAAATGTCACTTAAAATAATTTAATATTTGTAAAATTTGGACCTTAATAAAATTATTTGATAATTTCCATACAAAAAAAAAAAAAAAAAATAAAAAAAAATTGATTGAGCGAATTAATAATAATTAATAATTAAATTGTGCAGATTAATTAAATTTCACGATTCATTTATAATTTCGCTCAATTTCGTTTTTGACTTGGTGATTCAATTTACGCCGGTCGTGTTTATTCAAAGCAATTCGATCCAAACCAATTAACAGCGTTTTCCGCTCGCAAACATTTGATTGCCGGCGAAGTTTGCATTTAATCAGAGTTCGACCGTTCAACATTGAGTTATTTTTCACCAGGTAAACACGCACTCTCTCAGCAGAATCACACTGCGAAAGAGAGAAATGAACAAAAAAATCGCTGACAACCAAACGGCCAAAAGTCAGGACCAAACTTTTTCATTGCCTCTCTTGTTAAATGGCTATTCTTTACTTTCCTGCAATGAAACAACGTCAATTTATTAACGTTTTAGATGTTCTGAATGTTACAAAATCCCAAGCGGGAATTAATTATAATTTCCGCCCTTTTCTGGCAAGAAATTAAGCTGGATTTGGACTTCATAAGTCGGAAAATCAGGCTGGAAAGTGGAACGCTTATCACGCTAATTCCATCCCTTGGGCGGCCCAGCTGCGTGCATTTTATGAACGATCTCCATTTATGAGCTTCAAAGTGTGTTTGCGCTGCTTCTTTGAACTTTGATATGCGAAGCTGAACAAGGCGACAGTGATTGATTAGAAACGTGGTTGAAAAGTGACAGGAAGGTCTATCTGCGTCCCTTCAAGGATGCAAATTTTATGAGAGGGAAAAAGTTCACCACTTTCGAAATATATTGAATCTTCCTTGCTTCAAGGCATGTTGCGCTTGGATAATATAATCAAATTATCTTTGCCGCTTCATGTTCCGGTTTTCTGAGAAACTCGATAATCTGCTTGATTACCTCGCGTCCCCATATTTTTCACGGCGGCTAATACAAGGCCCTTGCCGGTGATGGCGAGATATTACGGCACCTAAACGACACACGCGTCGAAAATTGGAAAAGTTTGAGCACTCACTTGTACCAGCAGATTCCGGTTGCTATGACAGCGACGATCCCTGCAGCACTGCAACCCGCAATTATCGCTAAAAAGAGAAAAATACCTGGTTAAAATCAAATTTCAAGATAAAAACTTTTTAGTTTAATCTTTAAAAAAAAATCAAAATTTAATCTCATTGTCAGTTTGATTTATGAATGAAATTTATCAAAATATTAAAATTTCATTTTTTTTTTAAATTCCACACATTTTTATTGGTTAAATAATCATGTGATTAAATTTCTTCAATTTTATATGAATTTAATTAATTCAATCCTTGTAATTTAATCAATTTGGTGCGTGAGAATTACTGCATTCAGTGAAAGTTTTGTTTTGGGCTTTTATAATATTTATATACAAGAGTGGAGTGACACCACAGTCGATTGCTGGAAACTACAAAAGCAGCCCCACACTTCTTTCGAATCGATTGGCACCCCTAGTTGGAAGCAAGGGCGGCAGAGGGTGCGAAGCTCAGCCAGCGAACGGGGCTGCCACTTTGACCTTTGCCGAGTCGTTATTGCTGAGAGCAAATAATGTGACGTTTGTTCTGTCACACAGGGCAAATGGAAAAGCCGCCTATTGTGTGCGTTTTGGCGGAGAAAAGGGAGGAGGGGGGGCCCGCAAAGTTGGATTGTGCAAAAGAATGCCGCATGATTTATAATGATCCAATTACACCCCTAGAGAGGGCGGCCACATATTGTGAGAAAACGGCTGGGTTCTTTGACCCAAGAAACAATAACAACAAAGACGTTCTCAACTGAAGAAGATAAGAATAGAAGGGGTTTCGTTTGATTTATTTCATATAAGAGATATTTTTAGACTCCGTAGGGAGTGGCTGGAAACGTTTCCAGAGGAAATAATAACTTCAAACTTATTTCTTTAAATAAACTCGTTATAATTAAAAAAATAAACCATAATTAATTAATAAGAATTAAAAAAAAAAACCCTAAATAAAAGGTGAGCGACAGTTTTACACATTTTCAATCGCGGATAAAGAAAATAAGAAATGAATAAAATTATTTTTGGTTTTAAATATAATTGAACGCAACATGCGTGACTTAAATTTGGTGCAAGTTGCATAATTCCATCAACAAGGAATTAAAGCCCATCAAGATTACAAAGTTTCATGTCCTCACCTAGAAAGTAAACTTCGGAGTCTGGTTCTGACGGCGCCGGCTCCTGCAGCACCCTGGCGTGGTGGTCAGGCAGGGGTTCGTGCGTGGTGGTGGGAGGGGGTGTGGGCGCTGGTGTACTTTTTCTCGAGGGCGCCTGGTGCAGGATCATGTTCCTGGGCAGGTTCGGCTGCGGATCGGCCATCAGGGGTGGCTCGGGGTTGGAGGGAGGAACCGGCCGACCTCCTCCCCTCTGCATGACGCCTCCTGCTTCACGGTTTCGCAAGGGACGGTCTTCAGTCAGGTCGTTATTGTCTGGCGGCATGTACTTGGCTCCGTTCCAAATTGCTGTTGAAAAATAAAGGAGAAAAATGTTTTAACAAGAAGTTTGCTAACGACAGTAATTGGTAAACTCTATTAGCAACATAAAAACCGATAAAAATAATTAAATATTGCAAGTCACATAAAAAAATAAACAATGCAGAGGAACAACCAATTTTTGTTGGCAGTAATATGTACTTTAAAATAAATTTTATAAACCTATTTTATGATAATTTTATTTTTATTTAAATTTTATTTTTATATTTTCAACATTTCACAAAATTTAATTAAAATTTTAATTTAGTAAATAATTAAAAATAAATATTTCCCTGATATTCTCATTTTCCTTTTTAGAACTTTATTAAAAGTATTGAATGCTTGCTATGATTACTTTTGTTTGTGCTAAAAGTTATTTGGTTAATAAATAATAAATCTGTAAGCATCTTAAGCCATAAAAATGAAATCTTGTTTTACAAATACTAGCATTTTCGAACCATGTGCTTTTCTTCATCATTTTTTGATAGATATTATAAAAATTGTCAATATAAAAAAAATTGCTTAAATATAAGATGGGAGCAAACAAGAATTAATTGATAATTTAACTGTTTAATAGAAAGAAAAGTATTCCTTGCGACTTACGTTCTGCTAAGTAGGCATCGCCGTCCTCTTCCTCTTCAGGTTCAGGTGGTTTGGGCAGGTAGTACCTGGGGTCGGAAGGGTTGACGGCGAAGTAGGGTTCGTGCTGGGACTCTCTGCCTCCAGGGAGAGGCTGGAATTGGTAGGAAAACTCGCCGCCGGGGCCCATGATCTCGGGCGAGAAACGCATGGCCGCTTCCATGGCGGCCTCTTCGCGCTGCTGCTGTCTCAGGTGACGCTGTTGCAGGATGGCCGCCACCTGGTCGATCATCAGTTCTTCAGGAGTCACATCTCCTGAAACAAAAAATTGCATGAAAATGGTAGAAATACTAGAAACATGAATTAATTCAATATTTCAATATCTCCGAATTGATTTTCTTTGATAAATCAATCGAGGAAACCAAGAAAATGTCTTTATAAATTTTAGATTTTTTTAAATTCCATGTTTTTTTCTCTTTATGGCTTTGTAATGTATATTGTATATCAAGTTACGTATCCCTTATTTGATATTTTGAATTGAATTTCATTTAATTTTCATATTGACTGGATGAAAAAATATCTTGTAATTTGCTGTATTAAAATAAAAATGGAGTTTTAAAATCTCAATTTATTTCAAAACCCAGTTCACAAATTTAATAAATATATCGTTAATTCCTTTTTTGATTGATATAAGTTAAATTAGTAGTTTTTTTTATAAGAATATGAACGCCATTTTAAGCATGTATCGCCTTATTTGCATTTGCCAACGGGGATCAATAAGGAACGAGTTTTGCATGCCTTGGTAGAAGCGAGAAGCTGCTGCCTCCAGCTCATCTCTCTCGGCCGAATAAAATATTCAAATTGGATGTGCCCGTAGCTGGGTTCACGTCCGACCCTCCGACCACCCTATCGCCGACACCCAGGCCAAGCACGCGTTATCACCGATGTGTGCGAGTTGCCCCAGCACAGACAACATTGCGGATTCGAGAGAGACCCTTGCTCAACACCAAACAAGAATGCAAATCGCTACTGACGAGGGTGTGCATTGACGTCGGAGAGAATGTCAGCGATTCGGCTTGACAAGTTGGAAGTATATTATGTTTTTTATGATACAGCAGCAGTTCAGAAGAGTAATTTAACATTTTTTTTATTTATCTTGAAATCACAGCGGCAGGGATTGAGTTTTCCTTCCCGTTTTTAACAATTTTATATTCTTATTTACTTATTATAATGCAATGTATTTTGGATCAATTATTTCCACAGTATTTAATTATAAATTTATTTATCATTAATATTATTAAGGCTTTATTTATTTATGGAATGTAATCACATGTCTATACCTCGTGACAAAATGAAATGCCAGTATTCTTTATATTTGTTTCAGCTAATTCCTTCCTAAAAATCTGGCATTTCATATATTTTTATTTTAATTAAAATTATTCTATTGTGAACCCTGATTATACTTTCACAAAAAGTGTCATTAGCAATTTGTTTCCGCTTGCACATTAAAGAGCAAAATAATACAAGAGTTTTGAAACGTGGGTGAATTAAAATAAATATATTTGTTATTTTCTTCATTCAAAGAAAATGAAGCCGAAAGTGTTTTTTTTTTAATTAGTCACAATATTTCAAAACGTGATAATTATAAAAAAAACTTGATAAGTCGCATGTACATTTTAATGACTTTGCGCACGCAGCGTGTATAATTATTATTATTTGTACAAAGTAAATTATGGAGAACCGCACTTCCTTCCTCCGGCTTGGGTCTTTAGACGCGTTTCATAATGCATTTTTATACCTCAGGGGAGCTGGAATAGCTTTTACCTTGCTTACATATCACATTTGCAATAAACCCTTGCTAATACGCATAATTAAGTAAGCTGTATTTTTATATTAAAGATTGGCACAAAGGGGGAAAAAGCACGATAAAAACACGAGTGCTGGCCTCAAAGACAAAACTAGCAATATGTAGATTAATTTATTGCAACAAACTGATTTGCATAATTGGCAACACGCATGCACAACAAATAAAATTGGATTTTAATGTTAAATAACCCCAATAATTCTTGAATTTTCTGCCTGGCTGAATTTCAGTTTAAAAAAATCACTACATAAATTGGAGCAAAAAACCTTAAATAAATCTTTTTTTTAATTTTAAAGAAAATATACAAGACAATGAAAATTTAATTGATTTGAAAACACCTTTCTTGAGTAATTTTGTTTTAAAATTTTAATAAAATATTTAAAAATCATACGAAATAATATTCAATTTTCTGCATTGGGCGTTAGCGGACTTGGTCAATGAAGATCAGTTTGATCAGGTCCATTCACATCTTGCTTATCCATAATGGAGTTCTAAGTAGCAGGGTGAAGAGGCGCATTTCTTAAGCACCCTCTTGCTCTATGTCAAGCGCTCCACTCGTGCGGATATAAAGGCCGTCTGACGGGCACTTTTGTTTTACATTCTCGTCTCGCTCTGTGTTGTTTAAACTTCTCGGGTCCATTGTCTCCTAGGGAGGGGTACAAAGGGGTCACGAGATCGACAATGCAGACGTAAAAGTTCTTCACAGTCTCGCACTGAAACATCCTTAAATGCATTTCAAAATATGTCACGACTAACTGCGTCATCAATTAAAACACCATAGAAAATATCGTAAAGTAAAAAGTCGGAAATATTTGTAACAATATAAAAAAAATCTTATCATGTGTGTGCATTTTGTGTGATTATAAAAACAACAACGGAACATTCGATAGCTGTTATACTTCCCTGCCGCAGTTCTGTGGTTATAAAAGAAAAATCAAAATCTGAATTTTATGTTTATTTTATAAAGAAAGTTTACTGATTACATTTGATGAAGTTGATCTTATCTTAAAATAAAACTGCATTTTGTTGAAAGTTTTAAGGTCAGTTTTAAATTGGAATAAATCATAATTTCTAAAATGTATTTCTCTCAAAATTCAAATATGCAATTCTGACGATTCTTCTTTTATTCTTTTAAATTATTATTAAAACAAAAGTATTTGATTCTTCGTTTTAAAGAATATTTTATTTTTATTTTAAATTTAAAGATTGCTACAATAATTAAAATATCCTTAAAAAGACTCTTACTTTGCAAATTAATTGAGAACTTAATTTACCACCCTTAAAAATCTGCAGAAGTTGGCCTTTATCGTTTGGGGGCAAAACTGCGAGAGCACCTGGGCGTGTGCGAGAGACACATGTTCTTTGTTTTACGATATTCGCCGGGAAAAAGATAACAATAACAATCAACAAAGTTTTTTTGTTACACCCGCACACCAAAACGGCATTATCAGCGCGACAGGCGAAAGAAGAAGAGGAAGCTTAAGGGAGGTGCAAACTGTTGCTCTCTTATTCAGGCAGTAGCAGGGGTGGTCGGGGGGCGGGCGGGGGCCTCCGTCGGCGATGACGTCAAAGCGGCAGCGCACCAGATGAATTACATCTTTTAGCAAAAATCGATCGCGGCCTGCCTGCGGCGAAAAATGTAGTCGAATCGTCCTCTCAAGTATGAATGAAAGTTTAAATGCTAAATGTTTCTCATTGAGGAAAATATTAATTAATTAGAAGCGCGTGGAATGAATTTAAATCAATTTTAATTTAGTTACGCAAACAATGTTGACGGTTTCAATTAATTTTAATTGGAACAAATATTGTTTCGTTTATTTTCATTTTGATGAAAACATTTGATATAAAAATAGAACTCAATTTTTATAAAAACCATTTTTTTTTTAATTAAATATTAATTTTGACTGTTTGATCAACTTTTAATTCCAACCTGTAATTAAAAAAAAACGCAAATTTAACTATTTCTACATCTTATGTTGCCAGATTAGCAACGTGAAATTTAAAAATTGGCGAAAACGTCTAATTTTAGATCATTTTAAATTATTACATTGAATTTATTTCAAATATTTTATTGTTTTCATAGTTTAAACACGCTTGTCTATCAAAATTAGAGTAAAATTTGCATTTTAATTAAGTTTACAGAATTAAAAACTATACTTTAAAGTTAAATTTGCTTAAAACTTGTATCCAAATTGGAACGCCTCTGTTTTTTTCCTTAATGTTAGCAACCCCTTCAGCACCGTGCAGGCCTCTCCAGCTTGAGAGTGAAGCAAAGTTTCTATGGCAACGTTCCTCTTGCTAAATAATATTATTAGTGCCCCCGCGCCTCCCCATCGTCTCGAGCGTATTATTTTTGCCCATTCTACTCTTATGTCTTTTTCCCCATCTGCTGGACGGAAGCCAGCAGATTGTTTACACAGAGAGACGCCGATTCGCACAAATCCTTCCCGGAAACGACCCAAGACTGCATTGCGGAGGAAATTTTTTATCAAAGTGGCCGCGATATCGAGTTTAATTAAAAATCGAGTTTCTTTTCCTCAAGAATGTGAGATTGTAAAATTTTTCATTCCGAGTAATCAAATTCTGACATCACTCAAGCTGAAAGGCAGATGCTGATAATCCCCGAAGCGTCGACTTAATTAATTTCACCGTGCGAGAGGAATCAAGAACACCTGCTCCGTGTCTCGCTCTGTTTTTAATATGGGGCTTCGCTTTGCGTGAGCGCAGTGACGAACCAACCTCTCACTTGCTATTGACCTTACTTTCCGCGATAATGAAGCTCACACGCGTGCAAATCAATCCTAAAAAAAAAAAACTGCACTTTGACAGGCGAGAAGAACATTCGCGTGTACCCTCATAAGATTGGCACTTTGACAATATAAAAGTTATCTGATCATTGACTTGCGTTTTGTGTTAGCAAAAGTTAGTTAAAATAATATTTAATTCATTTAATCCTATTATTTGCTTAGTTTCTTGAAAAGAAACGTTTTTTAATAACAGTGAATTAAAGAGTTTATAAAAATATGATGTTAACAAAAATAATAATTTAATTTATGCTCGCAAAATATTAGAAGTTGTTTATGCTTATTTTTATTTCAATTGGTTTTAAACTTAATTAACTTTTTATTCAAAAAATGAATATCTTATCTTTTGATTTCATCGCTCCAATTTGATATGATTTATACTATGAGCAGCGAAAAATTATAAAAAATTAATAATTTATTTTAACCAGGTTATCACTAAGAGATATATAATGTATTTGATAACTTCAAACTTAAGATATTCTTATTTCTTTCATTTAATTAATATTTATTACATTATGGAGTTGTAATTTTACTGATCGAGGAAAATATGCACAGCTAAAGCAAGTCGAATTACAATTTATAAATAAATTTTAAAAGAAAGCAATATTTAAATTTTTTTGTTAAGCTCCCACTTTTTGATAAAAGACAGCGCTCGCCGGAAGGATGTCCCTGTTGTTTCATTTCATACGCAAGGTCGGAAATTTTCTAACCACAAAAGTAATCTTCCAAAACCCTGAAATCGTCGTCGGACTTCCCTTTGTCGGAAATATTAAATAATATAACTTGTAAGGTAAAAAATAAATTAAGAATGACATCAAAATTTGGAAATCCAAACCGATTTTAGGAATTTTTATTAATGCTTGTTATTAGTTTAACTTTTTTTATTGCATTGCTTTATTTCCTTTTAGTTCTGTTTATTTCTAGGGGGGGGGGGGGGGGAAACACGATAATCATGCATATTCACTTGTGTGTCGATTGACTGTGATTGTGTGAGTGACAAAGTGGAGCAGAATATAGGGCGCGTCGTGTGCCTGGTGCAGCGGCAGCATCTCTGGTGCATTTATTGCATCTCTTGTGTTGCATGTTCGCTCAGTTTGCAGCCTTTTCGCAATCCCCAAGGACTCTCAGCTGTTGTGTTGAGCAGAGAGGCTGATTAACCAGCTTGCGCTAGAAATTCCCGCATCAAAAGCCGTGCTTGTTAATTCAACTCTCGCCGTCTCCCAAGAGACAAAGATTGAAAGATGGCGCCGTTAAAGTCCAAAGAAAAGGCTAATTAAATGTGCACCTGATTATTACGAGTTGTGAAGTTGGAATGAAAAAATACGTGTTTTGCCACGCGCACCCATTATTGTTCCCATCCACGTGCTTAATCTCATACGTAATCCGATTTTGCTCTATTGAAAGAAATTATTATATTCTTTGTAAAAGACTTTCGTTTTTTCCATTTCAATTTCCCGATTGCTAACGTCAATAAGTATAAGAATTGAGTTCATTTAAATTTAAATATCTAAAATAATTAATTTTGTTTGCTGTGTGTTTTCATTTAATTAATACATTTGTAAGGTTTGTGAGCCAAATTAGTGTATTTTTAATTATTAAATTCAAAACTATAATTGTATAAAGAAAAATACATTAAACCTTTTAGGGCTGTTTAAGCTGAATAAACCTTTTTTTAATTTGTTTGTGAACAGGCCAGTGTGAAAATTGATGTTACGTCATAAATTTACATTATCCTTTATTTATCTGATGTAATTAAAAACCTGTTTTTTCCTTGTACGTAATTTGAATTGAATGAATATTTAATTATAATTATAAACATTCATGGAATATCCCCGAGAGATTGTTTTCCGAAGTTTTTCCCAGAGTTTAAATATGCATGCGTAGCAGGAAATTGTAAACTTCTCGTCAAGAGAAACATTAAAACTTCTTCTTTCACAAGCCGTTCTACTTTGCACAAAAGGAAAATTAGTTAATATCCAACCTAATTTGCTTTTTGAAATTGCATGCATGAGAAATGCTGCGGGGAAGAAAGTCAAGGCGTCGCGCTTTCTTTATTCTTTCCACTCTGAGCGATAACCTCAATAACGTTTTTATCACCACCGTCAAATGTATTATGTCAAAGCGTGGGCAGGAAACATAAGAAGTCTCTTATGAAAACAGAAAAATACGTAATGTACTCAAAGTCATAAGTTGACAGTTTTGATGTATCGGCCATTTCCAGTTAAAGGAACATCTGCAGCCCAACTCAAAAAACACTCCCATATTATTCGCAGACGAGCAAAAAGGGAAAACTCGAACCGGCAAAATGCTGGCAAGAGAGCAAACTGACAAAAGGAGCAAAATAAGTCGGCATCAGAAAGAGAGGACGAAGATAGAGGAACTTTGCTCTTGCAAAGCAGAGCAGAGAGCCCTTTTCATTCGCATCGTGTGTTTTGCGCAAATAAGAGCTTCTTATGAAAATTCCTCTCCAACCGCTTTTTCCTTGTTGTCTAAACGATTGGATATTTTATTATTGTTGTTTGTTTGTCCAAGGGGAAAAATATAAAGAAATCTTAACTAAAACTTTATTTTCGGTACTTTTTTCTGAACCTCCTAAATCTTCTGAAGTCATGAAATTTCTAACAAATATTACAGCCACTTAAAAACGTCTATAAATATCCTTAATTATTGTAAATTCAGGTCTAAAAGAGAGAAAGTTTTTTTTTTTAATTAATCGCCGCTTTTTCAGTTATTTTTTCTATATCTAGAAATCCTGGAAAGATTATATGCATTTCAACGCCCTATTCTCCGACCGGGTATCTTTAGCCCCTCAACCCTGCAAGTAAAGAAAAGTTTTTTTTTATTTAAATTGATTATTAAAAATAGATTTTAATTATTAAGATTGATAACTGGTGTGAAATTGATCCAAACTACTTATTTATGTTATTTTATAAATTGCAATTTTGATTTTTTTTTTTTAAATTTGGGTTGAATATAATTTTTTTCATCCAATTTATGCTTTACAAATTTTCAATGCCCCTTTTAAAATTATTTTTCAATTAAAAATTACCGATCAGACGTGCTGCGATTGCGCTGATTTTTCCGTCAATGAAACTGGAAATGAGCTCACGGAAACTGGAACTATTAACGTGAAAAAAAGCAAGAAAAATTTAAAAAAAAAAGGAAAAAGAAGTTGCTAGAGAAATGACGGCGTAGTTTGGAAGCCAATTATAGTCTCGTGACTGATTTTTTTGACGGGGTCGTGTTTTTGTTCTCTGCTCACCTGAGTAAAGGTCCCTGGCGGAGGCGTGGGCGAGTTGGAGGGTGCAGATGAGCACCATCGCCAGTGCCGACACGACCATGCTGCCGAAGGCGCGCACCACTCGTCGGCCAGTCGAGCCGCCTACTCCATGGTGTCGTCGGCGAATCGATAAATTTGTACCCTGCATTCCATGCGGGGCTGCCCGAGTAATCTGGGCTCGCTCGCTTGCTTGCTCGGCTGCTGCTCGCTCTCCGTTAGTTAGGCCACCCGGCGCACGCGTTCTGCGCCCCCGCCGACGTCATTCATGTTCGCGTTCGCCACTTGTTACACGCCCTGCACCATTTTCAACCCCCGCCCCGCCGCACATGCAAAGTGCAAAAGCGAATTTCCAAGTTGCTTGATTTTCCCTCGGACGCGCCCCGACAGCTGATTTTTTATCTCGAATCGCGCAGAGAGAGCAACACACTCTTTAACTCCGCTGCTTTCCGGCCGCGCTTGTTATTTTTTTGAGGGGGGATATTCTTATCACTTCTGCGGGTTCCGTTGTTCACCAGACGACACAGTGGTGGGGCGGCATAAATTTACATATTATCGCGACCGAGGTGGAATATAACGTGAGGTGGCCATTAGAAGGGGAAATTTTATCAACGAGGAATAGAAGTCAAGAGAAAAGATAAATTTGTGCTTGAAAAATATTGTTATTAAAGCGGTATCATTATTATTTTCGTTAAATTTCACATTTTTTATTAAATGAATGTGAGTTAAAAACATTTCAAGTTTATCGAGGTAAATATTTAAAATTTTAAAATATGATAATGGCATAATGATTTTCTTAAATTTAAATTGGGACTGAGCTAGGGTAAACAAGATTAGATGTGCGATCTATGTATATTACATAATTCATAGCATTGGAGACAAGCTTGATAATTAATTATAAAATGTTTGTTATATTAGTATATCATATTAAATAGTTTATTAAATAATTATAAGGAATAATTATGATTTTAATAATGATATTTTAACTGGTAAATTAAATAATAAATATAAATAACAAATAAATTAGAAAAATGTAAATTTTATTATCATAATTAACTATAGTGAACTGATAAACAAAATATAAAAATTATAAATAGTAAAATTATAATCTACAACTTTTATATTGTAACTTTAGTTAAGCTAAACATATTTGAATCTGAAATCTTAAATTTTAATTGGCCCATCGGCCGCGCGCCGTGTGCTCTTCAATAAGCTTATTGTACTTCTTGTATCTTATTCTAAACGCAATTTTCCCATATTTATTTACTGCATCAGATAAAAATCTCTAGTCACGAAAATTATGGTGTTTTGAATGAAGGAATAAAAATCTGGATCCGCATGAAAGCTGCTTTGAAATGCTCTCACAATTATTAGTAAATAAAAACTTGCTGCTTTTGTTCTAGGAAATATTTATTATTTTTTAACAATTTCATTCATTTGGTTTTGTAAAACACGTGAGTGGGCTGAGGGCAATAATTGAGAATAATATATCGCTTGTCGCCTGACAATGCGAGCAACCACTGGTGCAGCCGAGTGTTTTTGACAGCATTTCATCTCCAATTGAATAACACGCGGAGGCAGAATTTATCACCGCGAACATTTTCCACATTTCAGCAGCTTGCAAATAGCAAATATATTAAAATTTCTAGGGCCTCAATTTTAAGAAAATTTTAAAATTATTGGGTAATATTTATATTAACTATTTCACTCTCTGTGAATGTTAATGGAAGGGAAAATTATAATTAAACTTTGTGCATTTTTCATAACCGTCTGTTTGTGTCTTTTTCGGTCACATGCTTTTCCCGTGTGAGTTTTTCCCAAAAACTCAGATGTGCGATCGTGTTCTCATCCTTTGATGAATAATTTAAAGTGAGAAAAAAATGGGCATTTTTAGTGGCTGCATTGCCGAAAGTTGTCCATTAGCGATGGGCACCTTGGAGGAAAGCGTCGTCGGCATATTCACAAAACACAGTTTGATGCTGCTCAAGATCACGGGCTTGTGGCCCATGGGCAGAAAACACCGCAGGGCCAGCGCTTATCTCTTCAGGATTTCCATTCTGCACTTCTGCCTCGCCTTGGCAGCGCAGGTCCTCAGTCTGATTTTCGATGAAGAGAAATCTTTTGAATCTGTCGTTCCGACGGTTTTGCAAACTCTCATGGTAATCTCGATGATACTCAAGTCGATTTTCATCGTTAACAACAGAACAGAAATCAGAGCGCTGCACTTCTTCTGGGACGATGAAAAGGGTAAATTCCGTATTAGAATTTTTTATTTTCTAAATTATTTTTTAATAAAAATTGCAGGTGTTCGATTGGCAATTACAAGAGCCCTGCCTGAAATTCGCAAAGTTTATTTTGCATACGCGCTGTCACTGATCGCCAGTGGATCTTTCTGGCTGACCGAGCCCAAAGTGACCGACCAAAAGCTCGTCGACGCTCATCCCGAGCGATCAAAACTACCCCTCAACGGGTGGTACCCGTTCGACCTGGACAGCGACCTAAATTTCCGCTTGGTTTACGTCCACCAACTGTTTTCAGTGATGCTGATAGGCACGGTCTCGCACGGATGCAACCTGCTCTTCTTGACGTTCATCATATTCGTCAGCAATTTGCTTGCCTTCTTCATCGAGAAGCTGGAAAAAGTGCCGCAGACTGAGAATATCGAAGAAAGCGTCAAGGACTGCGCACAACTGAAAATTAAAATTGACAGGTCTCTAAGACAATGATAAATTTATCAATATTCAAAGCTTTTTTTCTTTTCCATTTGATATTAAAAAAAAAAAATGATTTTTAATTATACACACATATTTTTTAAAAATAATTTATATTTAAAAAGAAACAATCGTGAATATTCAAGTTGGGTTTTTTGATTTCATTGGATATTTTTTTAGATTTACAAGGGATGTTGGAAGGATTTTCTCTAAAGTGGCCTTTGTGCAATTTGCACAGTCAACTATGACTTTTGTTATTTCATCGTTTCGAGCCACCGCTGTAAGTGTTAGCAATTTTTTTTTTCAAGACTAAAAATTCATTTTGAACAGCCTGGCCTGAGTTTAAAAGAAAAGGTGCTGTACATGCAAGGGTTCTACACTCAGTTCATCTATCTATATCTGATCTGCAGATACGGGGGAGAGATTATTCACAAAGTATAAATGTTAAATACTTTTTTTTACAAAAAATAATATTCGTGCAATTTTCAGTCTTATGAAATTTTAAAGAAAATTTACTTTTGGCCTTGGGAGGATTGGAAGCAAGAGGAGATCGACATGATGCTGATGATGTCCAACGCCAATCAGAAGCCTCTAAAATTAACCGCAGGTCTCTACACCCTTTCATTGGAATTTTTCTTGCGCGTAAGCAAAATCCTATTTAATTTTGTTTATAAAAAGTCTGAATTTATCTCAACCAGGCTTGTGGACTTGCCATAACGGGCTACCTCCTTCTTCAAAATATCCGCAACAGCAAGATTTGAATGTAAAAATCAATACAATTATTTAAGCGTAATTATAAAATACATTAATATTTATTTAAAAAAGCTCTAATATCAGAAGACCCTGTCCTGAAAGCCGCTGTCCAAGGTGCTGGTTGGTCTGGCCTGGGCCATCTGCTGCGAGTGGGCGGCCCGCATGTTCCCAGGCCTGCGGGGAGGCGCCAAGTACTCAAACATGCTCTGCGAATGCTGGGCCAGCATCTTGGACAGTTCGCTCGGCATTGGATCCGTCCAGAAGAAGTCGTGGTTCAGGGCAGAATCGCTGTCTGCTCGGTTCTTTGGGTCGAGCATCAGCAATTTGTCCAGCAGATCACACGCGTACGGGTCTTTGACGTACGGCTTCAAACGCTCCTTCACTTTCCGCTTCTGGTTCTTCGGAAGTTCCATTTTGTTGTAGAGCTCGAGCGACTCGACTCCGGGCCACACTTCTTTCGAGATCGAACCGCAAAGCTGAGAAATGTAGGTCAGCTGTTGCTGCTCAGTGTTGCCCTGAAAAATTATTCAATAAAAATAATTTTTAATTATTCTTCAAAGTCAAATATAAAAATATCTTTTAAAAGCATAAAACACTGTGATTTAAAATTAAAATCAGCTTTTCCGTGATGGGTTTTATGGGTTGTTCATTGATTAAGATAAACAATATCCTGCTCTACATGTTTCGACTGCCATAATTTATTAAAATTAATTTTAACTGTCAAAATGATTTCACAGCTCATGAATTATGGCTGCTGCTGAAACATGTAGAGCAGAATATTGTTTTTTTTTTCTTAAAGAATAAACAACTCACAAAACCGATGGAGGAAAAGCAGACTTTAAATTCAAATCACATTGTGAAATCCTGCCACAGAGAGAAAAAAATAGTTTCCAAATTTGTAATTTTTTATATTCATTGCTTAGATTCTTAACAAATATCTTCAAATTTTTTTAATTTCTGCATAGGATATGAATCGTTACATGAAAAGTTAAAAAAAAATTGCTCATAACATTTCTTTAGGTCCTCTCAAATTTAGAATATTCAAATCCTTCTGGTTTTCAAAAAATTTACCTGCATAATGGGACTCCTGGTCCACATTTCAGCCATAATACACCCAGCACCCCACAGATCAACCGGAGGTCCGTAATTTCTGTCTCCGAGCAAAAGCTCCGGTGGTCGGTACCACAAGGTCACAACTCTGTTCGTGTACCTGATGAAATTCCACGATTTTTATTTAGTTTAAATTACTATTTAGCTAAATTTCACCTATTCGGTTGTCCACTTTTGGAAACACTAAACGCTCTTGCCAGACCAAAATCAGCCAACTTGAGAACTCCGTTTTTGGTTATCAGAACGTTGGCAGCCTTCATGTCTCTGTGCAAAATCTGGAAGTAAAATAAACCGTAAAAATTATTTAAATTCATTTGAAAAAATTACTTTGTTGCTGTGAATGTAGTAAAGTCCATTCAGTAATTGCTGCATAACTTTTTTAATTTCCCCTAAGCTAAATTTAACGTTGACGTTGGACAGCAGTCCAGCCAAGTCATGTTCGCAGAAGTCAAACACCAGGTAGAATGTGGATTTATACCTGTTGAACTGTGATGCTGAAAAATAGAAATAAAGTGAAAATACATAAATTTGCAAAATTATAGAATTAATCATTTACTTGGAACAAATTGACATTTTAAATTAGCTTGTAATTGTTAGAATAATAAATATAAATAAAAGAAGTAATAATTTATTAAAAAAAAATCTAAATAGCACTGAAAGATGCCACAAAATTTGCTCTCACCCTTTGTTCGGCAAATTTCGATTAAATGCACAACATTGTCGTGTTTTAGCAGCTGAAGAATTTTCAGTTCTCTCAAGGCCGTTATAGGAAACTGTAAAATCAACACCGAATCAGTCGAAGAAGTTCAAATTCCTCGGTTTTTAATCATTAATCAACTTACTCCTTCCTTTTCATTTTCCATGAGCACTTTTTTCAGGGCGACGAATTTCTTCACGTTTTTCTTTTCTCTTGCCTTGAAAACCTCCCTGAAATTTCGAAGAATGATTCAAAATCATAAAAGTGTAATTAAAGTTCCTACCCAAAGGTTCCCTGTCCGATTTTGGCCACTTTTTCGTACTTTCCGACCTCGTCGCAGAAGGGAAAGTCGAAGTCCTCGAGGTATTTCTCCTTTTCCTTCATCTGGCTGAGGAACCCCGACCCTGAGGTCGAAGGGCCACTCGCCGTCATCGTCCTTGTTGGTGTCGACGCAGTGACGAAGATGAAAATGCGGAAAATCACTCGAATTTGAGGAAAAACTGCAGAGGAAAAGCCAAAGGCTGCTTTTTGTCTCACGTAAACAAGGCCAGGCTGTTGGTGGGCGTGGCCGACGAGCGCGGATTTGAACAAATGGCGGGAGAGCGGCATGCAAACAGAGCCGTGTGTAACGCGTAAAGTTTAGATTGTGACGGAGAATGTTGCCAAAACAAGCAAGAAAAGTGGCTTAATCAAAGTTGCGATAGTCTTATAAATAAAATTGTATCATTTTAGATGCAAAATGTTGCATAAGAAATTACAAGACAGTAAAAAAATTTATTTTCCACTTCATGAAAAAAAAAATTGGAAATGTCAAAAAAAAATGTTTTATTATTTTATGAAGAATGTAAATTTTGTAATGCTTAAATCATTGGCTGATTTTAATTTATTACTCTTGAAGGCATTAAACTTTTCTTGTTTTCACTGTTCATAAGTTTGAATTCAACACCTGGAGATGCACTTGTTTCCATCTTGAAGGTCAAATAATTGAAATAATAATTTGTTGTAAGAAATGGAATAAAAACATTTTATAATTTTTTTCTTTCCATGTATAAATTTCGCAATTAGTGGCACGTGTGCGTCGAAACAAGTGTCAATTTTCCTAGGCTCGACTAGCATCATCTCGTCATCTGCCCGCCAAAAACGGCTGCTCGCACTTGGCAAAGCGTGTGTTTTGTGTAAGGGCACGCACCACTTGATACACAAATTTCAGATAATATAAAATCGGTGTAATCGTCAACACGCCGCAGTTGCGCTTGTTTACTCGTCCAGTGTAATGGGGAGAAGGATGTTGGTTTTGATTTTCGCTCTTTGGTGTGCAGCAACTCACGGTTTGTTCTTTTAAAAAGATTTTTAAATTGTTTAAAATTGCAAATGAGAAATTTTTGCTGGAAATGTTAGGATATCCGAGTAACGAGACTTGCACGGTGCTTTTAACTGGCGAAGAAAGTGTTTGTGTGCCAATCGAAGCGTGCATTACTGGCTATGCAGACCTGATGGGGGCCAGGTTGAAACCGATCATTTCGCTGCTCACAAAAGTTCACGATTGCCGATCTCCAAACATGGTGAGTGACGAGAGAAATTTTCATCAAGAGATATAATATAGAATTTAATATAAGTCATTAATTTATTCAACTATATAGATTTCCAAAAACAACCACAGAAAATTATCTCAGATTTTTTATTAAATAAATTAATACTTACACTGTCATTGAAGATAAAAATATACAGTAAAAAATAAATTAATTTTTTTTTTCATTTGCAATATAATTGAAATACAAATTTTGTTAAAATTTTTATTTAGAAAAATGTCTTTAATTTTGCAAAAATTATAAAAATAATAAAATACATGTTAATAGTTTATAAATTAAAATTTGACTACTAAAATTTTTATTGTAACATAAAACTATAGTTATTATTATTTATGTTTTTCAAACTTTTAAAACGTCAATACAAATTAATAACTTATTGCAACATAGCACAAAACGAAACTAAATGAAAATAAATTTTAGTTTTCTTTTTTTAATTTTAGATGTGCTGCCCTCGGGAGCGAGTTAAGGCGCTTGAGGCAATCGGCAAACTGAGCGAAACCATTCCTGACCAGGGCACCTGCGGCCGCGTTTCGCTCGTGGGCACAAAATACGAAGTACCGAAATTGGTGAAAGATAAAGTGGCAAATTACTTGGAGATGTCTGTGGAAAACGGCGGCGACATCGAAGACGAACGCGAGCATTTTGACGAGGACGAAGATCCGCTGCACAAACTCTTGGTGGGCATCAACACGACCTCCTCCGAGGAGCGAGTCATCATTGAAAAAACAAACGAGCTCAAGGATTACACGAACAAGACCAACTTTTACGGCGGCATTGCTATGGACGGACAGTTCAATTTCGTGGCTCGTCTGCAATACGGTTCAATCTGTATTTATTTATCATCCAAAGTACGCTTTGACCCTAAAAAGTGAAATTTCAGACCGACCTCACTCAAACCACGTTGACCGACTTTGCGGGGGTGCCTTGATCCACCCCTCGTGGGTCCTGACCGCCTGCCATTGTCTCAAAAGCAATAATGGAAAATTGTGAGTACAATTTAATGTTACAGAGAGGTTTTTATTTAGTAACTCATTTGCGTGATTTAAAAAAAATGTCCGGAAGAAAAGTGACGAATTGAAATTTTTATTGAAAAATTTGCACTGGTGAGGGTTGAAACAAGGGTTCGTTTAAGGTTCACATTTTTCCACCAAGAAGATATTGAAATTTTATGAAAATTACCGCAATAGTTTCTTGTTATTTGATTTATTTTTTAGTGCAACATCCAAAGACAAACGTTTCTAAGAGTTAAAATAATGCTTTTTTTGGGGGAAAAGAACTCCCCTGTTTCAACCTTTGGTAGAGTAAATTTTTTTTTAACAAAATCATTAAATTTATTTTGCTTTTTTAATTAATTAAAAGGAAAAATTAATAAAGAAGCCCTTCCAACCTCTTTTTTTTAATGAAAAAATTTTAAACTTTGCAGAGTTTCTGTAATGCTTGGTGGTTACGACGACGCTCACCCTCACACCCAAGTTATCGGCGTTGAAAGAGGTTACGCTTATCCCAAATACAATGGCATTAAAAATAATTACCAGGATGACATCGGCCTAATTAAACTGAAACAACCCGCGGACATGAAAGACGGTTTACTTGAAATTTATTTAGCGGCGAAAAAAATTATGTATTATTTTAGGTACCGTGTCCACTATTTGTCTACCGACGATTTCCAGAGAGAATCTTTTCCAAAAATACGCTTTTGCTCTCGGCTGGGGCATTGTTAATATAGGTAAAAATTAAATAATCCAAAAATAGGTTAATTTATAATTCTTACAAAGGGTTGAGTTGATCAATTATTTAATAATTTTGACATCCCGAATGAGTCAAATACAAATTAATTGTTTCTCTCATAGTTTAAATAATTAATTATTTTTAAATAAAATCAGATGGTGCTGGGAAGAATGGGCTTAAATATGCGCGACTTCCGCTTCTTCCGAAAGATTTGTGCCGAAGTCCTTTGCCTATAAACGAGCAGACGCAAATTTGTGCTGGTGGTGAATTGCAGGACACTTGCTACGGAGACAGTGGGTCTCCGCTTATCGTGAGTTTAAAATTCAAATTATATTCAAGTAAATTCACGCATTTAAAAACTTCCAGTCCATTTTGGAGGACGAAAGCGGGCAGTACATTGCATTTGTCATCGGCGTTGTGTCGTACGGTCCGGACAAGTGCGGCACGAAGGGATTTCCTGGCGTTTACACCAACGTCCAAAATTACCTGCCCTGGATTTACAAGCACATTGATGCTGATGCGAAAAAGTCCTCAAAGTAATGATCTTCTTTTTTTTATGAAACCGTGACAAAGAAATAAATTATCGTGCTTTAATTAGATAACGATGTCTTGACTGTTTATTTGAAGTGCATAATGTGGATATATTATGTAGTTTCAATTTATATTTACAGATAATGGAGCGTCATAATTTTCATCATATAGTTCATGATTTTTAAATCACCTATTGAGCGTGTTAATTAATATTAACGGAGCAAATTTTGTTGACGACCCTGAATGGTACAAAAGCGAATGAGGAATTCTAAGTTGACTTTTTGGGTTCCTTCGGCATTTCGCATTTTGTCTTGTAAGAACTTCTTGCCCTCGGAGCTCATTAAATTGTTTTCTGGGAAAATTAAAAGCAAAAGAGACACTATCGACGGTTCTCTGCTTACTATGGTTAGCGATGCATTGCAAATTTCTATCACCAGTTTGTAAATGGGAAATTGTGGAAACTTGTATTTCAGCTCAGCTTGTTTCTCAGCTCCGTTTCGACCATTTATAGGACCAGAAAAGCATTTTCCATTTTCTTTTTTCACACGAGCTGCTTTGTACTTGAAATCACCAAAGAGTCCATAAAACCTGCTTTTCTTTTTCCCCTTCAATTCACATGTTGCTCGAAAGTCCATAGGTGCATTTGAACCAGCCTTACCACCAGAACCCCTCTTGCCAGATATTCCGCTCCGATTGTCCAGTATAATTTGATGTTGATGACTAGCCACGATCTGTATTTCACCTGCTCTTGCTCCAGAGCCGGCGTCACCACCATCTTCTCCATTTGTGGGTCCAGATTTGTTTTTGTAGACAGCTTCTAGAGTTTTTGAATGTTCTCTTTCTGTCTCAATTATTGCTGAGCCAGCAACTACTGCAGTTGAAGCTACAGCAGTTGCTCCACATGCCATTCCTGTTGCTCCAACTGCTACTACGACTGGTAGTGCAAACGCACCTAAACTTACTGCAAGAATTGATCCAGCGACGATCCCTACTTTCGCGGATGTTGGCATTGGTTCTTTCTTGTCACCATCATTGATAACTACCTCATATCCCGGCTTTTCAATTTCACTCTTAATTGTTTCTTCCTCTCCTTCGTAATCATCTGTAAAATGTGGGGCAGATTTTATTTCCGCGTTTTTTCCATCGCTTCCATTTTGCCCATCACTTCCGTTCCCACCAACACTGGTTATATGCAATAGCGACGAGTTTTTAATGGAGTTGGCAAACATTCTGAACGAACCAGAGCTGAAACCTGGATTCCCGTGTAGCGCCTTAATTTTGAAATCGGTTTTTTCTTTCGGGTGGAATGCCCCATCTTCGCCATTAAGACGAAGAATGCGATTTTTGTGAACGATGACTTGCGGAGCCAGGATGGTGAAATGAGTGTTTTGAAGGTTGACGTCACAGTCGATGTAAAAGGAACTTGCAGCCACTATAGCGATTGTATGAATTTTGTTACTTTGGTTTCGAATCTCGGAAATAATATGACTCAGCACAATGCGTTGGCCAAAGAAAATCGTCGTTTTGTCAACAGTTTTCATTTCAGGATTGGGTGTAGCGCATAATTTAAGCACTTGATTCATTTCCTCAACCAGATTTTCATTCGGTATCAAATTTGCGGCCGACGAAATTGTTTTTTCGTTGAATCCTAGTCCAGACAATCCAGCTTGGAACAAACAGAAAGTGTAAACGTCGAATCTCTTCAATTCAGAGAGTTTGGCGCAGTAGGTTTGGTCATCCTCCAGAAGATTGATCAAAAATTTGTGGAAGCGTGCAGTGCTCATGACGTAAGCCAAAATGTTTTCTTTCAATCCGAAGAGACCAGCAGCGTCATTCTCGAACTTGTTCAAACTCTCCTTATTAGCGATGTCGTGCAAAAAATGGAGTTTCTTATATTGGAAGTTTAAAGTGTCCCATAATTTCTGGTCCATTCCAAAATTTTTTAGATCCTCGTAATTCTCAAAACTTTTGAAGTTCAATAGTGTGTTTTCTACTGATCCACAGTAATCGATCGTCTGCTTGTATTTTTCACTAATATTGTTGTATCTGTTGATGATTTCCTTTGCAATGCATTTCATGATCACGTGCTTGGTTTGTTTCAGGATAGTGTTGCTCTTCTTTTTCGCATCAGGTAGTACCACGTCTTTGACATAAATAACTGTTTCTGGGGCCACGGTAACATGAAATTTGTTTTTGAACAAAGAGGAAGACTCCAAATCGTTAAAAACTAGTTTTCTAAGCTGTTCATAGTTCGTGTTTGGAAGAATGACATCTTTTTCAGGCACACGGAAAAAGCCAATATATCCTTCACCTTCCAAAATTAATCCTAGAATTGTAATTTGCCTGCCAATTTCTTTTTTAACTTGTTCCTCCTTGGCTTCGTGCTCATCATCTTCAAGTCGACGCTTGGTTTCCTGAAGATAAACTTTGATATCGTTCATCACCTCATTATCAGTACGTTGAGATGTTTGTGGAGATTTAGTGGCAATGAGTCCAATTGCGTTTTTAAATGAATCAATGTTGTCTTTGATGAGAGTCGCCAAATGCTGCAAACTTTCGCGGAAAGCGCTTCTATCTCCGGTTAATAGCAGATTGCTGTAATCAGTGACAAGTACGATTCTCATTTCTATCACCGAGTCAAAAATGTTCTTGTTGATGAAAGCTACGGCCATATCTTTCTTATGCCCTCTCGTGTCTCTGAAACCTGCGCAATCAATCATCGAGAAACCGGATTGATTATCTATATCAATGTTGGGTTTGTAGGTTTTAGATCTGGTATGGTTTTCGGTATTGATGGTTACCTCTTCGTCCGCAAATGCAAGCATACCTTGAATAGTGATAAAAATCTTAAGGCTTTTATCATTGCGTATGAACTTGGACAAAGTACTCTTGCCAGCCCCTGTTTTGCCAACCAAAACAATAACTTTGCGTTTGTCTCTTAAGCTAGGAACTTTGTAACCATCCTGGAAATAAAGTAAAATAATTTATTATTTTGGTGTTTCAAAGTTTTTACCCAAAATCTAAGCAAATAGTAATTACCTCCAGCAATTGATCAATTTCAGAAAATTCCTTGTTAGTCATTGTGAACTCCGGTTGAACACCAGCTGAAATTTAATGCCAAAATTTATAAAAACATAATGTTTGATCTTTCATCAATTTTAAAATGCTCTATGCAAAAATAAATTGTGAAAATATTTCTTCATTTAAAAATATATGATCGAGAAAATATTTTCATAATATTTTCTTTTAAGATAGCACTTTAAAAATTATTATAAGATTACACACACACATTGTGTCCTTGGAATTTTCATTCCTGATTAATTGAATAATCTGTTCTAAGAAAATTCCATGCTTTGACAAAAAAGAAAACTGTGTTCAGTTTGAAGCTAAGTTACATATAATCGCTTCCAAATGCTTTATTCGTTTTTGCTTGGTCAACATTGTGCTACATAAAATTTCGTAGGTAAAATTTAAAGGTCATTAGAATTCAAATTAATTTTAATTTTCTTTATGAAGAATAATAATATTTTTTTTATCTATTTCGTGGTGTAAAAGAGCATCACAAAATATATAAATAAAAAGTTAAAAAAAAATTAATTTTTTACATTACATGAATGAGCAAGGTCGGTTTTCGAGAGCAAACAAAATAAATTTCCTATAGGGGAATAATGCGGAGCGAAGAGCAAAAATGTGAGGCGTGATGACCCGGGGCATCCTTATATATTTTCAAATTACAGTCAAGCATGTGTTTTTGCAAAAACCGAAAAATTAGTTCCAATATTACTATAGCAACTAAAAATTGAACTCACCACATAAACTCTAATTCAATAATGGCATCATCAGCGCGGGAGCGAATGGAATTGAGAGAGTGAATGAGAGTCGACCGGCATTTATATAGGAAAGAACAAGATAATCATATCAGTTAGACCTTTGGTCTTTTAGTCACTCCATGATTTTTTTAGCAATTTCTACTCAGACCAAATTTCGGACTGCATTTTAAGGCAAAAAACGGAATAATTTGTTGCAGCTTGTTCGCCCCCCCCCCCCCCAAAAAAAAATATTTCAGGCAAGTTTTTTAGATTTAAAATTCTAAGAAGGGTATCTCCTGATCAGCAGACCGATAGACAATTATTAGATACTGCCAAGCGATTAAATTAACGTAAAATGAGAACCCTCCTTATTGATAACTTGAAATTTATATTAAAATCTTGATTACTTCAAAGTAAATACTATCAAAAATTTTGAGCTGTCGTGGACATTTTAATAATTTTCTAATTTCAAAACCATAAGGAAATTTCTAAATTAAATAAAAATTCATCCATGAAATATTATTCTGCCGATCCGCAGCTCTACATACTTGATGTTTCGTTCATTCCACTTCAATTTTGTAAATGTGTTTAATTAACTAAATAGTGATCATCGCGATGTAGTGTGCTCAAATCCCACTTTTGAAGTCTGTCAGTTTCAAACACTGCAATCCTGGTTGTGGACTTTTGTTGCTAGTTTCCTAACATTATTATTATTATTGCAACTCTTAATAATATTATAATAATAATATTTATTAAATGCTTAAATCCTTGTATTATTCGCCTTTTTTATACCAAATAATGGCACAAAACGATGATTCAACAGATTAATTTTTCTACTTTTGTCACAGCTAGACTTTTTTGATTGCTCGTGTATGTGCAAACCATTTATCAGCTTTTTATCAATTATCGCTGCTTGAATCATTGTTCATAAAAATTAATTATTGTTATCATTGGCAAGATAACAAAAAAATTTCGTCATTTGCTATTTCATTTCAGAACACTTAACAAAATTTCCCCATCAATGTTTTCTATATCAAATACTCCTAATAACAAGTATATCTCTAAAAATGGATAAATTCAGAAATCATTTCTAAGTTCATTTTCCAAATTGTGCTTCTAGAGTCAATGTTTCCCAGACGTTTCATGCCCTGGATTTAAGAGCAGCTAATGAAAATTAGTCCTCAATATAATGAGCTATACTTTTGTGGAAATACAAGAGAAATAAAAAAAAAAACTATTGAGGTTTATTTAGATAACAATGTCTTTCTTGTTTATTTGAAGTGCCAAGTGCATAATATAGTATTTTCGTTTTTATATTTACAATTTTTAGAGCGTCTTATTTTTAAATGGAATGCGTAGTACATTTTTTAATATTTTTGCACGATTTTACAAACATCTGTCGCATTTAATTACTACAAATGTTTACGATGATTATAAATTTAACATATATTCATTAATTTTGTTCCAAACTTAACATTTTTTCAACAATTATTTAAGATTCTAATTTCCTAAAGTAAAAATTGCATATTTTGATTTATTTATCTTCTTTTTTTTTAAGTTTGAAGGAAAGTTGGTCGGTTGATGAGAGTTGAAAATATTCTTATGGTTGCAATATATATCAAGGTAGGCCACACAATTGATATGCATTGAACGTTTTACCTTTGAATAACAATTAACAGTAAAATTGCATCTTATGTACATTACAACGATTACAAGTTAAATTATAAATGTATATTGGTGTATGTAGTGAGAGAGATGATGTGTAGATTGAGTATAGTTTTTATAATGCCTAAATAATAACCTATGCTTCATATTGTAAGATTTTGCTTAAATTTTTCTTAAAATAGACATTCATATATGAGAGAAAGACTTGAAGTATTTTACGCGCCGAGCAACTTTTTCACCGAGTAACCGGGCACGGAATAGAAGAAAAGCAACAACATGATGGCCAGTGCTGTGAAAATGAGTCCCTTGATGATGGTCCATTTGTAATTGTGCCAAACAATGTATCGGATCGACTTGAATGGATTCAAGAACCACATGAACGATGCGTCAGGACGGCTGAAAATTTGAGATTTTATTTAAACTGACAAAAATAAAAAAATTGGAAAGTACTTGGGTTTGTCTAGAGGGTCGGGCTCATTTCTTCCCATTCCAGCTGGATTCTTTTCAGCCTCCTCGTGAGTCAGCAGATGAATTTCTGCCTCAACTTTTCCCTAAAATTTTATTAAGATAAAAAAATTATTTTAATATATTAAATATTAATAACCGTGAGTTCCATTTCCTCGTTTTCTTTTTTGATGTAAAACGGCCACCAGCCTTTCAATCTCTTCTGCTTGAAAATATTGACCATGGGGACAGAACCGTCCGTCTTTAGCATGTCCAGGGTGCAGAGTTTGGAGCTTTTCGCACCTCGAGGAAACCGATTTAAATCAAGAGTAATTGCACCTATTGTTATTCATTTTAATTTTCTATTTTTATTTCTCAACATTTTCATACCTAAAAAGTCGTCAGCAGAGAAATGATCTGCGTCCCACACTTGCAATTCCAACCGGGCAGGTATTTTGCTTTCAGTCTCGTCCCAGGAAAACAGCGACTCCTTCCGAGAAATTACAATTTTCTCCTCGGCTACGAGGTAATCGAATGGGAAAATAAATCGCCAGTTGAAATTTCCCTCGCCGGTCAGGGATCTGTAGTGGATGTCGGTATATTGACAATCCTCTGGTCCCTTCAACCATCTTAATATTTCAAAATTAAAAATCTCAACATTTTTTTTAAATTTTAAATTACCCTTTGACGTAAATGTCTGACATTTTCTCGCCAGTGAAGAACGCGTCGTCCTCGAGAACAACCTCGTCTGTGTTCCAAATCACGATTCGGAGCTCGTAGGATTTTGGTTTCCGAGGCGCGATATCAAGAGGTGGCCCTGGCAACGGCATGTCCATCGGAAACATGTCCACCCACAATTCCAATTTACCCTAATTAAATCAAAATAGAGAAAAATTTAAGTAATGCGGAAGTCAAATTTATTATGTTTTTAACACATTTGATTTTTTACTTATTTTTGCCTTCGGAAGAAATAAATTTAATTAATTTTGTACCTGTTCAATTCCCGGCTTTTCTGCATTGTAAAGGGGTCTCGTTTCGACGTGCTCGGGCACAAGTTTGCAGCCAATGCGTGGAAATTCATCCCAACGCTTCAGAACTGCAAGCGCCAGATATTCCTCAAGCACTGCACGTACATAAAGAGAAACACAACTCGAGTTCATCAAAAGTTTTGCAAAGTAATAATGCTTACTTTTGCCTCCTCTCGTGAGAGCCACGTCGTCGTTGTTGAGGCCAAAAGTTTTGTTTCCCACTTTCACTTTGCCGTTGAAGTAAGACGGGGGCTCCAGTTTTCCTTCTTTGCAAAGCTTTGCCAGAATTTGTGTTGGCTTCATCGGGTCCCGCCACGCGTTGTAACCATATCTTTAATATAAGTGATAATTTTTACTCTAAATTTATGAAATCAAATTAATATGGCCAAATTGAAGATCCAATCCACTCTATATTTTATTTATTTTAATAAATGAAACAAAAATATTTTTATTATATAAGTGGTGGCATTTTAATAGAATTTATTATCATATAAGCAAAATTTCCCAAAAGAATATCCATGAAGAGTTCCTATCCTACAGTTCCTACAGTGCAGGAAGTGAGGTTAGATTTACTATAATTAATTCTACTTTATAGCCAATTGCTTATAAAATATATTTTATAAACAGCATAATATATCCTGAAAAAATGGAAAAAATATAATATTATGAAATGTGGAGAAAATATAATAAATAAACCAAAAGAAACAATTATTTTATGTAATTAACAAAAAATTGTAAAAATTTATAATTAAAATTTTTTTTAAACAAAATAACTTTTAATATGAGTTTAGTTAAACATTAACATCAAAGCTATATTTTTCATACATGGGCAGAGCGCACTTTGCGCTCTGCGATCTGCGCTCGCGCTCTGCGCTCATGAGCGCGAGCGCAGAGCGCGATCGCACGATTTTCAAAATCGTGAGCGCGAGCGCAGAGCGCGAGCGCATTGGTCGCTGAGCGCAGCGCTCAATTGCGCTCATTTTGCGCTCAAACCAAGAGTAAAAATTCCCGAATTTGATCAAAAATTGTAATGAAAAACAGTGTTTTTATACCAAAAACTTAAAACTGATCCCAATTTTGGTGATTTAACTTCAACTTTATCATTTCCAATTGCCGATGTATTTTTTGTTATATTAAAAAATTGTCTAAAAAGTCGCACTTTTTCCTCGGATAAAAATATTTTTGAGCGCAACGCGTGAGCGCAAGACTTCCTAAAAATTTGAGCGCGAGCGCAGAGCGCGAGCGCAACATTTTCAAAATCTTGATCGCGAGCGCAGAGCGCGAGCGCACTGTTGCCAGTGATCGCGAGCGCGAGCGCGAGCGCAAAATTGTTGAGCGCACCCATGTATGATATTTTTACATATTTAATATTTATTTGTATGCAATAAATCTGGACTTACTCTTCATATTTGCTTGGAAGACCGCAAGTGGCCCTGTGCCGCGTGTAAAAACGGTTTTCCAGATCAATTCTGGTCTCTCCGATGAGGTCATCAGAACCAACAAGGTCCCAGTCCCAAACTTGCACAGTGAGCAACGAGTCTTGCGGAAAGGTTGCTTCAAACTCAAAGCACCTGATTCAAATTTTTTTTTTGAAAAACTCTCTTTACATTTATCAAATGATACTCCAAAAAAATCAGCCAATGGTTATTATTTCAATTATTTGAAGAAAAAAAAAAACCACACAAACCTGCCGAAAACGGGGTTCAGCTGTTTGGAAATGTAATGTTCCTTGTCGCTGATCCTCTTGCTGCCCAGTTGCAGCACGACATAAGGATCAGCTTTGCCGTTCAGGTCCATCGGGTGCAGGTCAGTGCCCTTGACCACGTACACGCGAACCAGCACGTGGATCGGGTCACTCGAGGGCAGGCCTTGGAAAAAGCCGTACTGAGGGTCAAAGCCCATGATGGTGTGGTCGTCGATGTCTTTCGGCAGAGGCCACTTGTACACTTTAATGTTCCCCTGAACATCAAATAATTCACATAGAGAATTTTGACAAAAACTTGACACTTTATTAAAAAATTTTAATTTATTTTCAGATGTTTTAAATCGCAATTAATTCGGCAAATTTTTAATAGTTTTACAGTTCGACAATAGCAAGTCAGAATTTTTTTTTATAAATTAGAATCTTGAATTTAATGAAAATATTTTGAAGACCAAAAATTACCCTGTTACAGTTTTATAAGGAAAAAAAGGCAAGGAGGCAAATAAAAAGATGGAATTATTTTTTTATTTTTCAATTTAATTGAATTTTAAAAACAATTTTTGGTACTTTTATTTGCTTATCAACGTGTAAATTTTAACTTCTTTTTATAAAGAGACCGCATCAAAAATTTTAATTAAGGAACCATTTATTTTATAATTTGTTTATATAATTACCTTGAACTTTCCAACGACTCGACTGTCGTCCTCGGTTTCCTCCCCAGTTTTCTTTCCTCTCAAAAGGTCAAAGGTCTGCAGCCATTCTTTGAAGGCGTTGAACTCAGGCTGCGCTTCCAGTTCGCTTGGGAATATCTAGGAATTAAAAGTTAGAAAAACATAATTTTTTTTATCATTGCTAACTTTTAAAAGAGCCGTTTTTGGCTTCAAATGCTTAGCCGCCTTGGGACTCCACTTGTTGGCTATTTTCGCCGCGTTCCCCGCAGACTTAAAGCCGAGTTTAATTTTCTTCTTTTCCTCGTGACCGCCGCTCGATCCCTCCGCCATTTGGCCGCAAGCCCCGTTCTGCTGGTTCTCTCTGTCTTGCTCCTCATTTTTCGCTTTTTTCGTTTCCTGGTTCCAAAAAAAGGAGGCAAAGAAAAATGTCGAGTTAAAAAAATACAGTCTTTGTTGCAAAAAAGTGTATTTTTTTTCACTCGGAAAAATTTGGGAGGTTATTTTTTCTCTCTAGAAAAAACACGCACCTCTATCATCGCTTCGACGGACGCGAAGTACTTCGTCCACCAGTCCTTGCTGTCCTCGTCGTCGTCGGCCGCGTGACCCATGCTCATTTTTCTCTTGCGATTTGATTCAGTCTTTTCTCTCTTACTTTGTAATGTACCTGGTCCCGACTGGTGAAATAATTTATTTGAAAAAATTTTGCGTAAAATTTTTAACTCAAGTTTCTCACATTTGCTAATTTGCGTAGCTGAACATCCGTTTCATCAGTGTCAAGAATTATATAGTTGCTGGTGGAAATTGAATTTGCCCAGGGGTCAGCAGCAGCTAATAATAGAAAAAAAAATATATCAATAATTTAATACGAGGAATATTATTTAATATTAAAAAGTGTAGCATCTGATTGCAACTTTTCTGCAATTAAAAGAAAATTGGTAGCAAATTAAGCAAATAATTCTTATTAGCACTTAAATGATGATTTTCACCAATAAAACTGATTTGGTTACTAACATAAAATATAAACTAACGCAATGCAAATAATATTTACAATTTATACGAATTGATTAAATTAACCATATACAAAAAATATTTAAAAAAAATTGTAATTATAAAAAAAATATTATTTCATTTAAAATTTTTTCTTAAAAAAGATAAAAATTAAAAATACCGTTCAGAAATTTTATAAATAATATTAATGCATTTTGATCAAATTTATATATTTATTTAAAATAAAATATTTAAAATTACAATTTTATTTTATTAGATTTTCGTTTTTTGTTTTTTTTTTTTATGTAAGAATATAAACATTTTTTACTGTGATTTGGCTGGAGCTGCTGCGATTTTTTCCTCTCTTCCACCTCGCGCTGTTTTTTGGTGACGGGGTTGAACAAATATCGGTGAATCGAGTTGATCATGTGCGTGCCCACCAGGGTGTACCTGCCGAAACTGCGACAGTCGACCACCCTGACCGTGAGCGGCGGGCAGTACAACTCCTGCTCCGGCAACTCCTAATAATTTCACAATTTGCATTTTCAAAAGAAAAATTTAATTTTTCATTTTAAACCAGATCAATGAATTTGACGGGCGTGCTGAAATTGGGGTTTTTCCTTGCATTTGTGATCACAGACGAGTGCAAAATGTGGCCGGCACATTCGATGTCGACGCGCGGCTTGTCCACGGTCAACAGGTGGACGCGCTTCACGTCACGCAAGCCCCAGAACAAAACTTCGATTCTGACAAGAGAGCAAAAAGCCATCAATCGGCGAAAATGTAAAAATGAGTTTCATTATAGATTAGAAGCGTCATACAAAATCTTAGATATTAATTCAATCATATATCAGGATAATATTTTTAATAATAAGCCCAAACAGAAGCGTTCAATATTTGAATATTTTCTCAATTAATGGACTTATATGGATTTATGCATATGCCATATAAATAAGCAATTATTTAAAAATTAATCTATATTTATAGATTAAGAAGGTCGACATTTAAGAAATAAAATAAAATTAATATTATATTTTAATTTATTTATTGTAAATATAATGAAAATAATATGTATTAAATATATGAATGTTTAGTAAAATTTTATTTTAGTATTTTATGATGCTAATTAAAATACAAATAAAAAACTTAAAGATAAAAAAGTCTTACCTATATTTTGACAAAGTTGGCCTAATATCTGGCGGCACTGGCAAAATGGGCCCAGTGTCTTGTGTGATTGGAATGAGGCAGTCTTTGGGCGACGGCAATGCTGGAAGCTCGAATTCGAGTTGGCCTGGATCAACCTTAATTTTCAAAAGAAACGTCTTTTTATCAAAGGAGTGACAAGAAAATTATTTTTTTTAATATAAAATCGTATTGGATTTCGATCAAGTGCAAAATTTTGCTAGACATGACTCAGAAATTGATTCAGTAGAGTGCATGCCTTATTAATTTAATTTTTAATTATTTTGAAAAGGGTGGTAAAAGTTTGCTGAAAAAACAATCAATTACGAAGAAACACACCAAGATGTATAGAAAAAGTAGAGCTGGTGCTTTTACAAGTGCGGAGAAAAATTTGTGCTATATTTTACACGTTTTTAACATTTAAATTTAACGAGGAACTTGAGCACATTTAATTTTTTACAAATGGGTGGAAGGAAATAATTATTTCCAGTTAAATTAATTAAGAACATCGAAGTTGACACCTAAATTACATTATTTTGAATAATATTGCGAGGTGAAAAGTCCTTCACAACAGGCAGAGAGTATAGAATATAAAATGGGATTGTGAAATTTAGACGATCAAATATATATTTTTCTGGTCGTTCTGAATTGACTTGAAAACAAAGAAAATCTATTTGCAATTTACAAAAATTTTGAAAAAAAACCGACATAAAATTTGTTCACTTTTTGTATTGTCCTCAAAAACAAATTATTATTTATATTTAAATTTGACAAATCGATCAGTTTGTTATCGTTCAACATAAAAATAAATAAATAAATAAGGAGTAAAAACTAAAATTATTTCAATTTTGAAATCGAAAAACAATTTTGAAAGACCGTCTAAATTTCCTAGCCCTATAAATATGATAAAATTGATAATAATAAAGGGTGAGTTTTGAGAGCAGCAGAGGAGGCAGAAACACCGAAGACACCACCAATCAGCAGGCGTAAAAAGGGTGTCGCGCTAAAATTGCCATACCTCGTTCTGTCGACCTTTTTTTCGCGGTCTAAAATCTGGACGCCGTACCTCAAGCATTTCGAACATGGCGAGCAACTCGCCGGCGTGGTCGACGCCTCGGTTGATGTCAAACCACTCAAGTTTCGGCGGAAACTTGGGCGGCTCGTACGGCTCGCTCAGTAGCTTGACGTGCGGCTTGGCCATCGCTCGGCCGATGAACTCGGACTTGCCCTGAAGAAAAAGTTAAAAAAAAGTTTAACTTTTGTAAATAATCAATTTAAAGGAAAATTTAAATAGAGTTTGTAAATTTAAGATTTTATTTGGTAAAATCAAACTTTTCACTGTATGAAAAAAATGAGTATATTTTTTCGAATGAAAATGTATTTTTTAATTTTTCATAACTTGATTTGAAATTTGTTTGTTTGTTATGAATAAATAGTTAATAATTTACCATGCATCTGAGAAAATCTAATCCAATGAAAATTATCTCACAACTTTGTCCTGATCGAAAATCTCGATGACGATGTTTGGCGGCTCCTTTTTGATCTCCTCTCCCAATCCGCACACCATGAGCTCTGGAAAAACAAGTAGCTCGTCCCACGTGGGGCTCAACGTCTCGTCAACCACCTGCGTCGTCTTGCACCACTCCCCGGCCACGACCTGCGCGTACGGGTCGGACAGTCCGGACGCGTCCGAACCGATCAGAGACCGCGCTTGGTACATGTGAGCCCGAAGTTGGAAGTACTTGATAAAAAATAATAAATTTTTAATGTAGAAGATAATTTAGAAATTAAAAAGTAAAATTTTAAAATTGGCATTTATGACCAAAGACCAAAAAAAATTTATGTTAACTGGAATAAGATAAAATTTCATGCCCAAAATATAAAAAAATTGCTGTTAAAAAATTATTGATTTCAATTCAGCGCCAATAGGGAAATTTGAGCATTTGATGAACCCCTGATTTGAAGTTTTAATCACGTTTCAGAATTTAAAATACAAAATTTACTCGGTTTTAATTTTTGTAATGAATTTTCATGCATTGTTTCAAGGGAATAAAACTCACGTGTTTTTCAGTAAAGTGTATCACAGATGGGGGCAGAGCACGCGGTCGTTCTGCACTTTTGATTTCTTGCGACACTTCGTAACCAGCTGGAAGGCCGGAGACGAAGTTTTTCTTGTGCTTGGTCAAGCCGAGCCACAGGTAGATGCGCAGTTTGGCCTGAATGACCCAACCACTCACTCCGATTCCCCGTTTGCCAGGAAGCTGCAATTTTTTGTAAAGAAAATCAATTTTTTTCTAATAAATAATAAAGAAAATGATCAAACCCAAGTAAATCTAAAGCTCTAGCAGGAAGAAATTATCGTTAATAAGTGACAGAAAAACGAAATCCAATTACTGTTTTAACCTTGAGCAAGAGGGTCTGGACCTTTCCACAGTCTTTGCCGCTCTCCTCGCCCACCACGGAAAATATGAGGTCTTTGGCTTGAAGTCTTTGATAAGCCACCCTCTTTCCGCCGCTCACCAGCCACAGAAATATATCGGGCAGCGCGTGTTGCGGCTGCGGGTGTATTAATTAGAAACTCTGCGCGTTCCTTTGCCTGCAAACTCACGTCTTCGGCCAAGTAGCGCAGTCTTTGAAGATAGGATTGTGCAGTCTTGTATCGCTCTTTGATCGTGTGCTTGGCGACCAGCGCCTTCAAGTTCCTTGCCAGCGACGCAATGTGCTCCTGAGATTTCATAATTAAACGGGGGCTCAATAAGATCAAAGAGTTGCTTAAAATTATCAAAAGAAATAAGACTGACTAGGAATTAAAATAACGTGTTGATACATGATTCATTCAGTTCTCAAAATATTAAATTCAACAGAAGGATCAAATATTGTGATTATTTTAATGTAAATAATAATTATTAATTCTATTTCGTTGCATGGGAGTAAGTTATTTAATATAATTTTTGCAGGTATTGATCATAACGCTTACTGTTTATCCCTTACTTTGGAACATTAAATGTTAATTTACTATTAATATAACTTCCTGATGTAAGGACTCAAATAATTTGTAAATACAATTAATAATTATCTTTACAAAAAATATTCATAATACGTTTTAAGCCAATAAGACATCAAACATTAATAAGGTTAATGTGAAAACTGAAAAAAAGAATTACAATAATATTTTTAAATAAATTAAAATTTATAAATATAAAATTTTAAAATTTTTTATCATAATTTTCATAAAAATATTTAAAATTTAAATAATAAAATATAAAAGTAAACTCAAAACAATTAAATTGAACAAGATTTTACTATTTCTCTGACGCAGAGTTTCATGCGCTCGCGGTCCAACTTGGTTTTTCCAGCCGCCGTGCCCTGCAGGTAGCATCGCGAGATGGACAAGTACTTTCCGCACCCAAACGCCAAATCGTCCAGCGTCTGCTTCAGCGTTTTTTCCATGTTCGGGCTGTCGGCCTCAATCTGCAGGTGGCTTTCCAGAAGACCCTCCTCCTGCAATTCGTTCAGCTCGTTACTCCCTCACGAACGCAAAGCCAAGCGTTTTTTAAGTAGGCAACGTTCGCAACATGTGCGTCGAGCGGGATTGCATATGTAACCATTCAGATACACATCAAGGAGATGTTTTATTGCCGCAGCATGAACACGAAGAAGGAATGGGAGATGCGCATTTTTATGGCGGAATTTTCTATCTCAATTCATACTCTTTTTTATAGTTTTCAGAGAGAGTAAAGCAGCATCTTTGAAAATGAATAAATAAAAAAGTGTTAAAAAGGTACAAAATATTTAAACAAAATCTCATTTCCCTCTGCTGATTTTGCCTTAATTGTAGATTTGTCTCTATGAAATTTTTATTGCTATTTTTGTTTTAAATTTCCCTAAATATTTTTTTAATAAAGAAATCCTTTAATTTTCTCTCGAAACCTGATAAAAGAAAATGGTGACATATGATAATGAAATGTGACTACGTTTAATGATGGATAATAAGATTTTCTTGTACCGCAAGGGATAATAAAAGGGCACTTACAAGTTTTTCAATTATCCGCATGATGAGGTTGGAGTTGTACATCCTGCGCCTGTAGTCTGGCCACACGGAGCGCACGTACATGCACGGCTTGTCGTCCCAGTAGGGCAGGAAATGATAGAGCCGGTCGTGGGTCATCGGCTTGACAGGTGGCGTGGTGCTCTGCCAGCACGCGCTCTCCGCTGACACGTTGTCTGCCCAAATCGTCAATTACAGAAATTCGTCATAATTTTGAACCAACCAAAAATTGACATTGATTGATTTATTGCAAAAAGATTGAAAGGTCCAATAGAAAAAAAAAATTAATTAAATTTCCTGTAAATTCTTTTACAAAGTAAAATATCCATGGTGATAGGTCAATTTTACAAGTTTTTTAATTTCAATTGAAACTCTTTTGATTGAGAAAATTTAATTTTACAAAAATAATTAAATCTTTTTAGTAATTTCTGAGTTCACAAATTATAAAATTCCTTGAATTTCAGATATTCTTTTCCCTTTTTCATTTTTTTTTCAACCTACCAAGGTAGTCATCCCCCTCCTCTTCATCAATCTCCTGTGAAGACGAATTGTGACCGTCCAAGGAATTGCCCGCGTTGCCGATGCTCAGTTCAAAGAAGAGCGGCTTGTCGCCCAGTTTCTTATCAATCATCGTCGCGTCCATGATTGAGCCGAACAAGAAATACTCCTCGTTCTTCCCGTAATTGGACTAGAATAAATAAATGATCATTGCAATTGTTAGCAATGGACGATGTGCACTGACCTCGGTGATTGGGTACGAAGGCTCGACCTCGACTCCGGACGGCGCGATGTCGATGTTGTCGGTGATTTCGGTGCGAATTGCCACCAACAGCCTCGCGCGGTACGAAACGCCTTCGCCCAGCCCCGAGTTGAGACTGGCGTGTTCGTCCAACAGGCTGTAATCTCGGGTTGAGCCGTACAGGTGGATGAAGGCAGGACCGAAGGTTGGCAGAAAACCTTTTGTGGAGAATTAAAATTTAAAATTAAAATATTGCAAAGTTGTAATTGCAAGCTAAAAAAAAATGAAATTTTCTACATTCAGTAATCATGAAGTGTTAAATTTTGTACATATTTTTTTTATTGGGTTTTTAGTGTTGATATAAAAGATTTGCCTAAGAACTTGAGAATATTTTATTATATTACAATCCAATTCAATATTATTAAATTTTAAATTTTTTCTTTTCAACAATAAGCAAAATCTGCTCAAATAACTTCAAATAAAGAGGTAAAAAATATACATCAAGCTTTTCTGGAAAATGTTCTTATTCTTTAAATTATGCTGCTTGACTTAAAAGAAAATATCGAATTTCAAGCGTATAAAGACTTTTAATAGAGTGGCTTCATTTGGATTTGTACCGTACTTAATCGCACAAATGATACTCCAATAATTCCAATACTTTTTACCAGTACAACTATGTAAGTCGATCAATCATGGGACAATAATGTGTAAACTTGTTGCAAAAGTGAGATTATAATCATATTAGTTGAATATTCATAGAACCACAGCCGAATATGCCCCTACACCAAATATTTTGTCAACATTATCTACAAACATTAATAAGCTTGCTGATTAAATTTAATAGTTAAATATCTACTGCAAATAATTTGAATGGCAAAGTATGAGAATAAACAAAAATAATGTTAATAATAACACTGATGAGCAATGTAATTTAATATTATTTATATTTAAATAAACAAAAATATTAAATATATAAAGAAATTTAAATAACATATATAAAATTTTATTTTATTTATGATTTAAATTTAAGTTTAAAGTTTTGTTTTAAAAACTCTATATGAATAATCCTTTATTTTCCCGACCTTTTTCTCCGTCATTTGAAATGGTCTTCAGATCAATGAAGTGCGTGCCGATGATGGTGTTGTTGACTTGGTCGTTGTCCCGCAGCTGGATTTTGATTCTTTGGCACAGCGGCGGGAACATCTCGGAAAAAACGATCTGCTCGTTCCACACTGGTGCGTAGCAATTTTTCTTCACGCTCGTCTTACCCTGAAAGGGCAATAAAACGATTAAATTCCACCCACCGCCTTGAAGGAAGTTTCGATTTCTCGTTTCTTTTTTGCGCGTCGCCGTCGGCCATTGTGTCAAATCACGCGAAACTCTCGACCGACTGACTTGATCATTCTTCGTAACGAGACTAGGACGCTTTTTTTATACTTGAGAGCTTCTGAATATAGAGCGTGCAGCCTCTCAAGATATATGAACAATGCGTAAACCCACTGGGAATTATTAATGGCATACACGCGAGTATGTAGAGAAATAAACCATTTTCGCTTTTCTCTTCCGTTCTGCAAACGGCGAATAACAATGCAGGACTTTCCAATTATAAACTAACCCTTAAGTAGAGAAATAACTTAGTGGAGCGTGGGATTAACTTTCCATTGTTTTGAAACTCTAGCGGAGAAGGAATAAAATGCACTCTTTTGTTTAGAAAACTGGAAAATGAACTCCTTCACTTCCATATTGTTCATAGTTTAAAAGCGAAAGAAACTAATTTTCCATCTCTCACAAATACTGACATTTATTTTGTCTGAAGTAAATTTAATTAATTTGCAGCAAAAAGCAAACACGCAATTATTAAGGATTTTCGTATTTTCTTTTTATGTCAGTGGATTTCTTTTTAATAATTTTATTAAAATTATTTTGATAAGCAAAGTGATTCTTGCATATTTTAAAATAAACTTCATTATGCAAATTTATCATTGCAAATTATTTCATGCAGTTAAATTCAGTTGTATTAAATTTGAGCTGCAGCGGAAAAAAGCAATAAAGAAAAACATCTCTACATTCATGACGAATAAGTAGAGCGTCTTCCCGGCTTTAAATACGAAGATAAATTAAGTATGAGCTCCATTAATTAAGCGTCATGTTTTCACTTGAATAATCTCATTAGCTCGCAAGGATTATTCTTGAGTGAAATTCAATTAATTTGACAAGTTACGCCTTTCTCAGCAAGAGACACTCGATAGAATTATCTCAGAAATTAATTTCTTATGAAGAAATTGTTATTGATACTTTTGAGCTAGAAAAATGTATTTTCTATTGAAACTTCCTTTTACTTGACAGCGGTGCAAATTGTTTTTGTTCGTGACAGCCGGATTTTGGCGGAATGTGCGATCTTATTGTATTTCTCCAACTCACCGTGAGGCCTGCGAACGAAACCTGCACGTAGGGGTCAACCAAATCCTTCACCTCGCCGGTGAAAGCCCTTTTCACGTTGGCCATGATGGAGGAGTTCATTTTCGGCAGGCCGTCCGCCCTGTAGACGCGGACGATGAAACGCGCCCGTTGCCGCTCCACCGGCACTCCCTCGGGCAACAGCAGGTTCCTAATTTCCAAGCATATTATTCTAATTAATGCACGTTCATCACCGACGAATAATAATTTGCGACAGTACATAGCAGGCTCAAGATCAAATGTCTAGACTTGCAAATTCTGGAAATTAAAAACAAAATTCAGCTACCAACTTTAAATTTTGCTATTAATTTTTAATCATGGAATATTGAGTAAAAATATAATGCTTAAAAAATACGCTTGAATTGAAAACAAAATAAGAATTTTTGGCAAGAAAATTTTCTCTTCAGCGGGAATAATCCTGGCGGGGAAAAAATTCATAATTTTGTGGCGTTTTGAGCAAATGTTTTTTAACTTTTTTTATAGAGAGTTTTTAAAGTCACAGTAAATTTCTTTAGCCAATTTTTTTGGCTTGCAGGCTTTTTAAGGCAAAGTTATAAAAGCTTTAAAGATCCTCTCCGGTCATTTGTATTGCTCTCGATTCTAAAAGATTGATAAATTTTGAGTTTATCTTGTGAAAACACGATGTGAAAATTCCAAAACGTTGCGTCGCAATCAAAAGAAATTCGAAATAAGAGTGATTCGCGCGAAAAACGTGTGAGAATTGAGTAGCCAATCAGATCCATCAGTTTGTTCCAAAAATTACAGAATTTTGTCACATTGGCGCTGCGATCGCTGATTTTACCGTTTTCTGCACAGCGCCGTGGGGCATCAGTGGCAAAATCAGCGATCGCAGCGCCAATGTGACCAAATCCTGCAGTTTTTGTACAAAACTGATTGATCTGATTGGCTACTCAATTCTCACGTTTTTCGCGCGAATCACTCGTATTTCGATTTTCTTTTGATTGCGACGTAACGTTTTGGAATTTTCACATCGTGTTTTCACAAGATATACTCAAAATTTATCAATCTTTTAGAATCGAGAGCAATACAAATGACCGGAGAGGATCTTTAAGAAAATGAATTCTATTTTGGAAAACTAATTTTTTTTTTATTCCTTTTGTTTTGAAAATTCCATACCAGTTTAATTAAACTGCCTCCAAATAATGAGATTCTTTTCAATTCTTCTACTTATCAAAAATTACGGGAAAAAACATTATTTTAGTATTATTTCTTCAAATTTGCAAGTCATAAGCGAGTGTCTAACTACATCAAACGCAGTAAACAAAGTGTTTGGTCAAAAATTAATTAAATCTTATTAGTTTCTCACAAATTAATATTCATTAAATGAGCTGATTTAATCAAAAGTTGTTGCTTTTCTAATTAAGTCACTTAAGGTGTTCTTTCACGAGCAATATGAAGATGCCAATGTGATAATATTGCGTGAAAGAACGCGGAAAATGCGTTCAGCATTCCTGAAGCAGCTCATTACACCGGCGTCCCGGGCCGGGAAAATAAAAGCAGAAAGCCTGAGAGTGAGAGCTAATGATGAGGGATGAAAATTAATTTAGTTGCGCTCTCTCGGCAGCTAGAATTCTTACTCTGGTCCATGCGCGCCCACGTAAAATCTTCTCGCCAGAAGGGAAAGCAAAAAGATCAAAGGCATATGACGCAGGGTTTGGTATTGGCATAGAAGGGAGAACAGCAGAGACATTTAAATTACATTCGGCAAACAGTCGCACTTGCCGAAGATCTTGATTATCTTTGAAATTACTTTTTACTTTGAGATCTCAATATTAGATAATTTCCTTAGTAGTTTCTTAATTCGCACAAATGATAAAATGAAATTATTATTTTATAGATATTAAAGAAAATTAATGTTTTTTAACAAGTCTGGAAAAATCAATCGACTTTTTTTGATTTATTCAAATTTTGGGCAATAAATGAAAACAATTGTTGATTTTTCTAGCCAGAAAAATTGCTAGAATTCAGAAAATTTTAATTATTAGCATTCTTGTTTTCCAATCTTTTTATCAATATCATTTACTTTATAACAAAAAGACTTCAAGAATGAGTGTTATATTTTTCTTCAGTAAATTGAATCCATCGAAAAAAAAAAACTAAAATTACGCGTGTTCAAAAATATGGGAAAATGAGTTACTAATTAAGGAAATCAGATCAACAAAGTTCTATAAAAATGTTTTTTTTATAACTCAATTTATGCTTGCTATATTTTTTTTTTTGAGAAATTAAATCTCCTTTCAAATTGACGTCCTCACAGCCTCTGTTTTTAAATTATGGAATTCAAACCAGTATCAATAATTAATATTTCACTTAAATTATGGCTAAATATTTTCAAAATTCTTCTACAGTATATTTTTTATTCATCATTCTTTTTATGTTTATTTAGTTTCAATAATTTAGAATAATGCATGAGTGTGGAAATTGTGCACTCACGCCTCAATGTCGTCCTCGTCCTTTTCGCTCTTGGGCGGCACTTTGACCGAGTCTCCCTTGCCGATGACGCTGATATCGCATTTCAGGTAGCCCTTGGGGCCGCCGGCGAAGTCGTCGGGGTCGCTCAGCAGGGCCCACTTGTGGTAGAACTGGTGGTCTGCGGGACACGCGCTGGATTAGGCTCGGCGCGTCAAAATTATTTATGGCCTCCACGAGAGCCATTCATTCATGCAATTGTGCGCGAAACGGGAGAGTGCAATTTGCAGGGTGATGTTGGCGAGAGGAAAAGAGTTGAGTGACTTAGACTTCCGCAACCAGTGGCGGTGCTGGGACGAAAAAACGGCCAATAAAAATTGGACTAGCATGCATGCGTATTACTTGATTCACTATGAGGAATGTATTTTTGCTTCTGACAAACTCAACTGCAATTTTGAGAAAAGCATTTGATGGCGATTATCAATTTACCTTTCAAAGCATCAGAAGCGAGCCTGAAAAATCTTTAATGTCTGTCAAATCCGTCGTATGAATGGAATAGTAAAATAAATTTGTTGTCTTCTTTTCCAATTGCATTTTAGTGTCAGAAATTTTAATACTTATTTAAAAAAACCTTGCGCGAATTTTAGAGATTTTAAATTATCAATAATTGTAGCATTTTTAATTGAGCAGACAGAAAATATAATTTATATTTTGGTATTAATGAAATTTCTGAAGGGTAATAATCAAACATTATTGGTCTAATTACTTGGAAAATTTAATTAAAATAAATAAATAAAAGCAATAAAAGTTAATGTCTAAATTTCGAGAAAAAAATTAAGATATTATTTATATAATAAAACAAAATATTAAAACAGTCAAAGTTTAAATAATAATATTGTTAGTATTATATTCTTAAACTTGCAACCGCCACTGGCTGTAAACAAAACAACTGCATGGTGCATTGGTATTTTCTCTCGAGGGAAAACGCATGCAATTTCCAGGTGTTGAGGTGAGAGAGATAAATGAAAACAGTTATGCAAATATATAATCATCTCATGACGGTGTGTCGGGAAATAAATAAAAATTCTTTTATCCGCCACTTTTTCAATGAAAAATGCAAACAACAACAAGAAGAGAGTGGTGAAGGAAAACATATTGAATATTAATATATTGGACGGTCGATTCATTGCGGAATGAAGATGATCAGGAATGCGAATAATTTATGGTGAATATGGAACTACGCATTTGTAATTTTCTCTCAACTAGTGCCAATGTAATGAAAAGAGAGATCAGGGTGAAGCTTGAACTGCAACATACCTAGAAACTTGAGGTTCAAAATTAAAGAAATTTTTCAACAGCTAAATAAATAAACATAGAGAGCATTCCCTTTTTTTTTTAAATATTAACAAGCAAACAAAGCGGAAATTAGCTATGAATATATAATATGATGATGGAAATGAAAATCGTCTAGCTATAGTTTTGTACACGCACGGGCAGAGAGAATTGGGCAGCTCGACATGACCACGAAAAGTACAGCATAGAGACAGTTGAAAATGGGAAAAGAAATTAACAAAACTACAGTCCGGCGTGAAAACATCAAATGTCATGAATATGGAAATATATATGAGAGAAAGAAAGAGAGAGACACGTACACAAAAATGTAAGTAGCTCTATACAATGGTATTACAAGCACGTTTTTTTTGTTTTTTACTTTGTATATTATTTAGTTTTAATTATGCTTTTTTTTCTCCGGGTACAGTTTTTATTTTTGGAAAATATTAACTATACCTGGTTGCGACCAAACTGTAGCAACATCAAGTTTAAAGCTGCCCAACATTTTGTTATGCCTGAGAATATTCCTTGATTGGAGAACCTAAAGTCAGCGGCATTCCAAGAGAACAAAAAAGAAACACTCAAAAATTATCCAAGCCAGAATAAGACTATGATTTTTTTTTTTCTTTAAAAAAAATCATATTTAAAAAGAATAAGTAGTGTCAAGTATATTGTGCACATTTTGTTTCGGATGAGAGAGAATTACAATAGTTTAAGGGATGAAATTTTTTATCCAAAGTAGTTGTTCTTTTCGCACCTGTAAATTAAATATCAAAGAGGAGAATAAAAGAAAGTGCCGTCTCAAAATGGAAAAGGTGAGACAGAGAGAAAGAGAGACAGATTTGTAAGGAGAGTGGAGGAGAGGGCAAAAAATCGAAGTGTGTATTAAGGATGCAGCAAAAAACTCTTATAAGTTTCTTTGTTTAAGTACCGGGAGCATCAAAGACGGTCTTCAAGTCTATCTTGAACAAACCGACTAGAGTGCCGCTGGCAAAGATTTTTCTAGAGTGCAACACCTGAGGCGAGAAGAAGAGCAAAATATGAATTATTTCATCAATTTGTTGCAGCAACAAATCCTCTCTCATCTTGGCATTTCCTTGTTTATAACTATTACAGACATGCGGGATTTTTTTCTCCTACTTTTTTTTAAAAATAAATTCGAGAGGATTAATTTGGGTGTTTATTAAAAATGCAATTTCTTACCGAAAGGGTGATGATTTTGTCGAACAGCATCATTGGCGGCATGTGGAAGTCGAACACAAAATACTGGAACAAAATTTACATTTCCGTAAAATTTCCGAAGGGACAAAACTGTTGCCGTTATCCCTAAAGTTATGCGAGGCTCTCGACTGCCAATTAACCCTTTTCGGTCCTAAATTTGGCTCTGCGGTTTTGCTTGCAGAGGCGAGGCCAGGCGGATTCAATTAATTAGCTCGGCCTTTGATGGTTTGTTTATGCGAGCCGCATTGAATAGGAAATTGTGCGAGATTATTTTGAAATTAATCCTATCAAGGAAAAAACGCGTGTTCTGGAAATTTCACCACTATCGGCAAATCAAAATTGACCTTTCCGAAATGGAGCCTTTCAAAGACAATTAAATTTATCTTTAAATCTACCCTTTTATTAAAAAAGAGACCAACTTGCTCTTTTATTTTCGAGCAAAAAGGCTTTTCGAGCTTTGTGAAGTTGCTCTTTAATCTGCCACGCTGCGCCAGGAAAAAAGAGGAACGGACATTTGTGATTCACTCTCAGAAGCTCCATTGCGCGCGGGAGCTGATCCTGATAAATATTCATTCAGAGACTTAATGGAAGCAAACAAAAGCACTTGTGGACGAGAAGTGGAGCGCTAAATAAAAGAACGTTGAATTGATAATTGATTCAATTTGAACTCACTTTTCCTCTTTGGAATTTATCCTACAGTTAGAAAATCAAAATTTCTGGAATTGACTAGTCTTTCAAAATGATTTTAAGCACAATTTTTCAAAAATTGAGAATAGATATCCTAATCTTACAAGATATTTTCTAAACGATCCAATCATGGATATTGGACTTTCAATTTCGGATCAAATTTTATAGCTTAAAAAATTGCGTAATGCTGTTAAGTTATGAGACCAACAAATCCAATTAATACTCAAAATTTTAAAATTGTTTTTTTAACTAAATTAATAAATTAATTTTTCTAATAATCATTTAAATATTTTACTACAATCGTTATTTTTTCCCTGCCATTTACTATTTCATTTTTTGTCATTTTCTGAAAATAGACATATTTTTGTATCTCTCAAAGTATCAATAGCCTCTACCCCCATCAATAGAAATAGACAACGCCGCACTCTGATGTCTCTTTCAGCCATTGAGCACTGCAGGTGAAATTTTCGGATGGCCGCCTTAAGGACGTGCAATTGGAGAAGAGAAAATAAATAAAGGGCCCGGCTCAACACTGAGAAAATTCTATCCGGTCCTTCTTTTTCCTTATCGATTCCCAGCAGCAGCCATCGTGAATTTTTGCTCCAAGGAAAAAGAAAAACATAAAGCAAGAAAGGCTCGTGGCGAATTTTTCTCTATCTTGAAGGCTTCTCGTATGAGTTAAAGGCCTGCAATTTCATGAACTCGCCCCTTTCCTCGGCGTTCCTTTGGGCGCAGAGATTAATTGCAACCCAAGACGGAAATAGAGTGGTTGGATCAAAAGAATTTTTATGAGTTTTCGTTCCTACTTTTGTAAGGTTTTGCAATTAATCCAAATATTTTGTGCTCACCTCATTGTAATAGGGGCAGTTGGTGCTCTCTTTGACGCTGGTGTATTTCTTCTGGTCGCCCACCTGGACGCAGACCACGGGGTCCATGTTCAGACCGGCCAGTTGACGCGCCTCGATGATGGTGATGCACAACTGGAAATCTTGCGACTTGAGCAAATTTGACGGAGTTCGTTGATGGTGCGATGCTCGCAGCCTGAAATCATTTTCAAACCATCAAATTAAAATATTTCTCGTTCATAATGCTTCTAATTTAAGGTCAAATTTGGTACCGATCGACTCATCTCATATCAATTAAAATGGTTCTAATAAGTCTAATTATATGAATTTAAGGGGGCTAAAATCAATTATAATTATCATTTTTAAATAAGATAAGTAAATATCTCGATAGTTGTAAAGGATGTAAATTATAAAATCTTTTTAATTTTCCAATGTTTTTTTTTTTTGCAAATATTTTCATAATACGTGCTAATGTCAAGAAAACAATAAAAAAATATAAAAATGAAATCATTTCAACTCCCTAGATTGGTCAAATTATTTGTAAGAAACGTAACTGTAACTTTTAAATTAAATAAAACGTAATTAACATGTTTTAATCAGCGTTGAGAATTATATAATTAAAATGGGCCTTTCCATTTAAACTTTTTACGTATCTTGAGGCTCCACAGCAAAAATTAAAAAATAAAATTATGTCGCAGGTGTAATTAACAAGCTCAAATTAATCCTTTACAACGCATTATAAAACTGGATGTTGTAAGCTCTTTTAATGGCACCTCGCGCTTCAATCGCAGAGAGCACTTTTAAATTCATAAGTCAATTTACAACCACACAACGCACTCTGCAGCAGAGTCTGGTAATGGAAAATATAATGAAGTGCGTGCAACGGCGAGGGAAAAGTTCCAGCGGATCTTTTTTATGGGCATCGGTAAAGCCCTGCTCCGTTGGAACTGTTGGAAAATCTCAAATCCCATTGCAGAGAAAAAGGAAACTCATTGAAAATTCTGTTTATTCTTCCGCTCCACGCTGTGCAAAAGAAAAACTGCTTGTTTTTCTATCTCTTCAAACGCGCCCAAAAGTAGAAGAAAAAACTAATTTTTTTTCTTCTACTCATAAGAAAAACTCTCTCACACGAGCGATTGCAGAATGTAAATGAGAAACTGACCTTTTCTTCGTGACGTCGAGTGAATTGGCGTCGAGCAGACTATCGTTGTCCGACTCGAGGGAAGACTGGCTTCCGGCCCTGGAGGAGGCCTGTTCGCCGACTGGGGTGCCAATTCCGTCCAAGCCGCTGCGGCCTCCTTGCAACAGGGCCCTTTCCTCGTCCTCCGATGACACGTCCCGAGGCGGCCGCTGTTTTCCCAGGCGGATCAAACTGCGCATACTTCGCAATGCAGAACTAAAGTCAGATAAAAAAAAGGAAATTTAACTGAAAATCACATTGGATATTGTAATTGCGTTAAAATTGTATAAAATTTATGAATTTAAAGAAATTTTTATTTGACAAATTGAGCGGTAATTAAGAGGTTAGTTTGATATTTTTTTTTTTTAAACGTTTTGCATGTTTTCTCATCATGAGTTGAATTTAACTTTCTAAATATGCCTGATTAAATTTAACTAAACGCATGGGATTTTTTTCTTAAATTTTGCTCTTAGGGTGGGATAAAATTAATTATTCCTTATTTCTCTGCAGTTGTGACACTTATTTATTAAGAAAAATAAAAATCAATCAAAATTGGTTAACAAAAAATTAGATACAAAATACCAATTAATTATGAATCAATGGTGTTAAAATTTAGGGATGTTTTTTTTACTATTTATTTGTATAATTTGATATTTTTTTTTTAATTAATTGAAGAAGTTTATTTTTATCTGCTTTACCATTATAATTATCCGGATATCCAAATAAACTTAATCAAACGTAATCAATTAATCATTTTGTCAGAATTAAACAAATACCAATATTACAGCACAAATGTTCATGAATGTGAACTTTTAATAACGTGTGTGAGGATTAACCATGTCGTGTTTCCATTTCATTTGTAAATCCTAATTGAAAATTGTCCATTCAGGAAGCAAAAAAAGAAATAAACGGGCATGTATGGTCAATTGAGCGAACAGCACACCGTGTATGGTTTGTATATTTCCTAAGTGCTTTTATGCCCTAGAGAGGAACTGAGCAGCGCTTTTGATGTGCATTTGCTTCCGTGCAGGGCAAACAGGTCGACGGGCGCGCGACGCGAGTTTAATCAGTCAAAGGGAATATCCACCTAATTATTTCACAGACATATAACGCAGAGAGCACAGATTTATACACGGCTGAGGTCAAATTGACGGAGAATGAGGAAGGCTGCGTTTGTTGACGGAGTAATCTAAATTTATGCGGCGCCCAACAAAACCCCAAAGAACACACAAAATGAGAACGTCCAGAAATTACTCGCTCCGCAAACACAGGAAATTTGAAACCCGACGCGCTCTATATTAAATTTCTGCGGCGTTCTCTTCGGATTTATAGTTTTTTCGACAGCAGCTCTTGTCAAAGTTTGCAACTTATCTAATTAGCGTTTCTATTCCTACCGTTTCCTTCCTGGCGCGGGGCTTTTGTCGATTGTTCTGCTCGTCGAGGCCTGTTCGTGACTCCAAGAGGCCCTTCGCTCGTTGCTTGTCAACGTTTTCTCCAGGTTGGCGATGTTCTGTTGAATGTCCACCAGCAGCCGCTCCTCGTCCATGCCCTCGTCCGGTGACCAGCCGTCAATACTGTCGTCCGTCCCAGGTACCGTGTAACGCATCTCGAGAGAAATCGTGGCCTAGAACAACCAGAGCAAGTTAAGTAAATGTAAAGGAAACTAGTATTTTTTATTTATTTTAAAATTGTGATTTTTTTTTCTGGAAAACGTTTTCAAAAATTTATGCGTTTTCTGTTTTCAATTTTTCTTTTAGTTAATTTTTATAATATTTTGAATTTGCATATTGGTTTGGTCAGGGATTGATTGCCTTTCGGCAGAAAAAAATACTTTTGCGCTAGTTTTACAATAACACAGTTTAGGGACTTCAAAACTTTTCAATCTAAACTTGAAATAATTTTGATCAAAAGTTTTTAGATTGGCAAGTTAATTTAAAAATGATTCTGTATTAATTATTGCAACAATAAATTTCCCTTTAATTCAATAATATAGATTGAAATTTGATTAATATCATCAAACTCATTTCTGACACTATCACGAATAATGTGTTGCTATGAAACCTTTAACCTGGTAAAGTAAAATTATTGCTTATTGTTTAATTAAATATCCCATTTTTTTAAGGTTTTAAATTTCAAAATTCCTCATTTATGAATTTTACTAACTAAATGTAAAGAGGAAATATAAATTTTAGAATTTATGTGACTGAATTCATTAAAGACTGCCGATAATTATTTGTATAACTCGCATTTTTTCATTTCAAATATCCTATGTTAATAAACATCATCAAAATCAAACATATCAAAACATGAAAATATCCCTTAATAATACTTCATTTAAAAAAAAATATACCAGAAACGTTGTGCAGACTGGGGTAATTTATACATAATTATATAGATTATGTGTTTTTAACAATAATAATAATATATAAAAACACGAAAAGGAATTAGTGTTTTTAATAAAAATTGTTAATAAAACGTAATTTTAAAATAAAATATAAAATATATATTAGTTTTAAATGTTTCTAAATCTTAAAATTTTTAGTAAATATATACCTTTTTTTAAACTTATAAATTAGAAGTTTGCTTGAAAATACTAAGATTATAATATTTTAAATTCCTTAAAAAAAAAATATATTACATACGTTAAACTTGTGTTGCTGTAAAAATTTAAAAATTTACTTTCATGGATCTCATTATCAGACAACAAGTGGTCCCATTAAAGTGAATAGGAATACAAAAAGTCCATGTTGCCATGATGGCCATCAAATTATCGTTGACGAATTAGACGAATTCGATAATGAATCATATCTAATTGTTAAACTAGACACACGTGACCAATCGCAATCCCCGATTAAATCAATTCCACGTTGACATTACATTACCATTGAAAAAAAAACGACTGCATGTCTATTTTTGTGTGTCAATATATCAATGAAAGAGTTTGTTGGTAAACCCTTGGGTTGAAAAGTTGCCTCCCTCCTCAACAAACATTTCTCTGTTTGTTTGTCACCAATCGCACAAATTACCAATCGACGTGAGAGTCAGCAACTGAAAACACGTCTCTCTCTACGGAGACGGCGAACGTTCGTCTCGCGTTTGAATCAATAGCGCGAATCTCCTCCTCGCTCCAACTCACTTCAAAATGCAAACAAGCAGCCCCAGCAATCATAAACAAACGAAGTAATAATCCTCATCCCTCTCCGGCATCCTCCGTTTTGCAATCACGACGATGGTTTTGATCAAGCGTGCCCGCGTCTTCCGAATTAATATCGGGCGACGCGCATTTCGGAAATTCGCGTTACGTGTGTGCACTTTCCTCTCTCTCTCTGGTTCATAGTTAATCTGGCACGTAAGCACACAGAGACTGTGTAAGTGGTGCCTATAAAGTACGTTTTAACGGAGTCTCGCATATTATGCAACGTGCACGGCGTTTCCAATCTGCCGGTTGCATGGCGTGGAAGTGGCAGGCGCCGCCGTTTTAATTCGCTTGCTGGCGGAAAAAAGGAGGTCGTTGAGCTTTAAAAGCCACTCGTAATTCATCGTAAATGGAGCAATTCATCTTTTGATCTGATAATCGCTTGAGTAATTGCTCAGATTTAAAAGAGGATTGGCGATCAGTCTTTTTTTTTCTTAACAGAGCAAATCGTTTTCGAACACTGGCAGTAATTTCCCCTCACTATTATCTTGAATTAATTTAGAAAGAAAATTATTACGGAAATAAATAATAATATATATAAATTTTGATGTGATTATATTATTGTTTGACAGAGGAAAATCTCGATTCTAGCTATAGACTATAGAATTACTGTAAAATGCAATCAATTTTAAAATTTTATACCTTCAAGTGTGGCAGATTTATTAACTTGAAAAACTTTAAAAAAGGCCTGAAAATATGCAAATTTCATCCAGAAGAAAAAGAACAAAAACCATCTCACTTAATCCCAAACATAATTGATCTTAAGTAATTTCTAAGAAAAATTCAAATGCTTTGACAATGTTTATTCCATAATATACACTTAATCATCGCAAATATATCTCTTAAACTATAACACATAATACAGACAAAACTATATAATATGCAGCAAATTATTCTCAACGATCCGAATAAAATAAATAATATTTCAAATAAAACAGCCAGTGGAACTGAAGCTGTGCCAAATTTAGCAGATTTTTTTCTCGGAGGCCGTGGAGCTGCGAATCGATTTTTACTTGCACACTTACATTTTACAAAGTGCAATAAAGGACAGTCCTCTCTTCCAACTGCAGCTGCGGCGACGCTAAATTGGCCGGGCCGCTCTTTACAAAGAGGGAAAAATCCGAATTTCCTTTTTTCCCTGTGACTTTTTCCTTAGTCGTTTCATTTGTATTCCCGGAAAATGTTCGTTTTCCATCCAGAAGCGCCATTTCCAGACCAGTTACCGGTTTGTTGTGAGGAGAAGAGATCCTGCACCGCATCCCCTAAATAATTTATAAAGACGCAGAAGAGGGACCGGTTGGGCGGAGGGAAAACAATAATGGAGCGAGCGAGAGAGAGAATCGCGTTGGTCAACAGATGGGTCAATTTGGACCGGGTCGCATGACTCGGTTTGATATTTGGCGAGGGTGGCAAATCTGCTGCCTGGGCAGCCGAAAGCGAGAAAATGAATTTTTCACCGGAAAGCAAACGAACGAGTGCAGCTGGCGCGCCGCCGCGCCTGCTGCCGGCGCAACTTTGTTTATCTCTCCATATTTCGGGGGTAATCGAGTCGGTAGGAACGTCATCTCGACCCGCAAATTGGACGCAACCCTCGCCTCGCGAAACTCGACTGCTTTCTTTGCAGTAATAGAGTGAGACGCAATCTAATTCCCTGGCGAGTTGAGCCTCCGAGGCCAGCTTTGCAAGTTTACCTGTTACTTCTGCCCGGCAAGAGTTAAATCTTCTTGCCCGCTTCCTAATGGATTTGGACCGACCGAAAGCCCAGGACGGAGGCCAAAACGTGTTCATCAGACTGAGTAATTGGCCGGTTCACCTCACTTGCTCGGAAATCTATGGTTGTTGTAACACCTTGAGCCTTAAAGACCAAATCCTTCACGTCTTTCATTATTGTTTAACGAAACCTGTTTATTATATTATTCTGAGAGACAAAATTGATCTGCATTGTAATTTTATATTATTGATTGCATTTAATATTGCTTTAGTTGCAAAAATGTTTGTAATTGGGTTCAGATCGACAGCAACTTTGCCCAAACTTTGCTTTTAATAAAAAGGTTTCTATAAATTCTGCTTAATTTTATATATTTATAAATTTGGTTTAAATTTTTTTTACTTATTTAATATTTTAATTTTTATTAAAACAAATTTTATAATTTTAGTTTATTATTAAAATTCATTGAATAGTGATAATTAACATATAAAACTTCTTATTTCTCACTCGAGAAGATTGTATAAGTAAATTTATAATTGAAACCAGAATGATGAAGATTGAATTACGAGTGAACTGAAAATGTTACTTTGAGAGATGTTATCTTTGTTGCTTTGATTTTTCGGATGATTATGTTTAGCATCAAATGTCCATTAATATATAAGAATTCTCAAATAATTAATCGCAAAGTTTGTACATAAGTCTTCCTTAAAAACGGTACTACAGAGGTGGTAAATTAAACAAAATTTAGTTTTCTACGAATTATTGCAACGAAGTACATTTTCATGGTATTTCATAATTGATAATTCTCACCCATGGTCAAAAATTGAATAAATATCCCTTCTAAATATTTCCCGTTTTCCAAAGAAATAAATCAGGAGTTATAAATAATTTGTCCCTCTCATCATTTCTATGCTAATCCATTTACAACTTGAAAAACAGGTTCATTTTTTCAAGATATTTCATTACCAATAATATAATATCAAATTTTTAATTGAAATTCCAGCGGCTTTTCCGATATATTGAACAATTTTACTCTGCACATTCCACGTTGTTAAATCAGGCGAGGTGCAATTTCTAACCCTGTGCGCACCCCTGGCATTTTTACATCTAATTTTATGAGCGCGCGCATTTAACGAGCCGCGAATCGATTTCCCATGTTTCCTTGTTCGCCCAGTTTCCACTATATTACGCTCTCTCGTGTGTAATATGCGTTTTTTTTTTTTTTGCATCGGTCTACATATATTAATTCGCGTGGAGCTCGGTGCAAGCATCCGTCGTCGGTCCCAATAGCAGAGCCCGGAATAATCTCTTTGGCGATAAAGCACGAAACTGGATTGTTTGCACTCAAGTGTCGCGCGCGCGTGCAACGGACTAGCGAATTAGCGAATGTTGTGTGGATGAAGACACGCACCGTGTGTGGTGAGAAGCACACGCAAATTTCTCTCGAGGGACCTCATATGAATGCTAAACCATTCGGAGAATGGCCGTGTTTTGTTCTTATTTGAATATGCAAATTCGCGGCCATTTCTCTATTTATTTAGCTTGGTGTGCAATTTACTTTTACTTTCCTAGAGAAATTCTGGTAATTTTTTATAGTAAATATAATATCACGAGGAAGGCAGAGAAGAAAACTGGAGAATAGGAAAAAAAATGTTTTCTCACGTAAAACTCAATCTTTCATGGTTCTTTGCAAGCAGAATAGAAATTATTGAACCTACTA